GGTGAGCGGAGGAATTGTGAATTGGGTGTGTTGTATCACATTGCATACACGAGGCTCTTTGCTCCTGACTCGGTTGTGTAACCTCGCGTGGGGGAGCGTTTCGCCTTCCGGTGGCTGCAGGGCGGGCATTGGATCCTTATTCCCCTTGAGGTAGAAGGAGTGAAACGAATGGCTGGGGGAAGTGGATGTATATCCGAACGGGAATGCCATCCGTCGGCGGAACGGTTGCAGCCATGCCGCGCTGCTGGTGTGGGTGAACCCCTGTGTGACGGCTTGAAAGCCGTGGGATGATACATTGCATGATCTCCGCACCGCTAGTCCAGTGTGCTCCCGTCACGGTAGGCGCCGCGTTCTAGAATTCCTATTACGGATAATCGTCATAGCTAGATTTTTTTTTCGACTCGATTCGAAGTCATGTGGTATGAGCAGATAATCAGTTGTCCAACGTTCAGAGTGGAACAAGAGATAGGAAGGCGACATTTTACGGCATTCTTCAGCAGGTGATGTCTATATTAAAAACAGTAAGGTTTAGCGAGGTTAGTGAGGTTGCTTATGCATTATGCCTTGTGAGATGGATCGATCATGCTTCATGTCAGATTGGAAGCAGAATCTTCTGCCGGGCACCTGGTAAGCGGTCTCGCGGTACACTGGTATATGAGATCGAGCCAGATTTTTGGAAGATCGGTAATGACTCGTCGGGAATGAGATCTAGTAACAGATTGCTGAAAAATAATATTTGTTGGTGGGTAGACTTTTGGACGGTATTGCAAAATCTTTCGGCGGTTGTGCCGCGTGCCCATTTGGACTTGCCCCTCAGAAATTCGGATGAACTGTATGTGTCTTAAACGGCAGTACAAGGGTGGCAGGTGACAGGCGAGGTGGTAATGCAAAAGTCCTCGGAGGTGCTGCTGCCTGTATCATACTAGGCGCACTGATTGCCAGACGTAACTAGACCCTGCAAAAGTACTGCTTAATGGTTCATGTGGGGGTATATGTGGGATGTTAGTAGTAAAGAAAATAGAACTTGGATCAGAAGCAGTTCATGAGCAGGCTTTGTTCGAATGCTTCTTGGATAGAATATTGAAAAATTGTCCAAAGCTGTAAAAGGGAGTCAGCCTGAAGCACCAATTCCACATAACAGTCGGGCAGGATTCGAAGATCTGCATAGTGGGATTGAGCGATAACGGCCCCATGCGCGTCAACGTCGTTTATGCCGCCTTCTGTAAGTATCCTTGCGGTGAAAACGTCTAGGACCCTAGCATAGCCTATTGCTCGTCATTTTACTAGTTGGACTTGGGTAAACTTGCAGAAGACCCAAAAAAGCTTACGAGGTATGTCTAAGGATGTAGCCAGCGCGAAATGGCGTCTCCACAAGCTGTGGTGGAGAATGACCTGTTGGCTGGAGCATCGTATAACTCTACAACTGTCATTGCTGATCAGGATGCTTCCGCGGACGCCGTTTTTAACATAATTCCTTGGTGTTTGCTGCCAGGGGTTGCGAAAAGACCTGCTTGAGAGGCCGCAGGGGCATATGGTTGGGATGATTCAATAGGCCCGTGCCAGCTAGACATGGGCTACTAGAGGTCACAGTTAATAACATCGGTTCTATTGCTGTTGTCCCTCTCAAAATCCTGTTCGCTACCTTCTATCCTTGATACCGGAATTCTGTCCTAGTTTGTCACCAGAACAGTCCTCACAAGATCGGTCAGTATCGTGGCTAGTGCGTCACGCTCCTCCTTTTCCTTGACCGAGTTAGGCTGGCTGAACACGACTTCGAGTTCGCGTTGGTCAGACTTGAGAAGCGAAGAAGGGTACTGTTAGTTTGAAAGTTGGGAGATAGAGTATATCTTGCTCCTTCAGGTAAGCACTGTTTGCACAAAGACCCAAGCGAAGTTTGCGAAGCCAGATACTATGTCCTGCAGGCTATCTGTGAGCCGCCTTGACCTCATCTGTTTTGTTCTCCTGTACTGGAAATAGGTTTTTGCTCACATATGGGTCATGTGTTGGATTGATATACACGCTCACCATGATTTAGATTCTTCGCAATTGCGGCGCTATCTTCGACTGCTTTCTGGCATATGCACATGTTGATGGGTTAAGTCTTGTTAGCTGCAGCTCAGTATATCATCCATGGCACGGTCACGATCCCGGCTCGTAAACCTACCGAACGACCAGCAACAAATACGGTCGAAGCGTGGCGCTGCAATGAAAGTGGACCAATATGGCGTTGACCCGTGGGCGAATGGTGGTGGTGGGGTTGCTCGAAGACCACGGGCAAGTGCATCTCTTTATATGTCCAGCTCGCTGGAATTGGCAAAAGCAAGGAGGACATGTGCTAACATGTACAGGAAAAATCCTCGCATCACCCCGAAGCACCAGTGCCCATCAAGCAAGATGAATCACGAATCGACATCGCGATACCTATTCCCATCGCGCAGACTTGCTGGAAGATCACCTCTCCAGATGGCCGTGAGCAGCTGTGCTACGAGCCCATTCCCGGCTTCGAGCACCTGTGGAGCGGTTCAGGGCCGTCGCAGAAAAACGATATCTGCTTCGATGCCTCGCCCAAAGCCGCTTCCTTACAGCTATGCCAGCCGACCATGGCCCAAGGACTAGGTAGGGCACCTACTGAACCCAGGACGCTGCCTAGTACACGAAAGAGAACTCGATCCAGTAGACGAAAGCTGCGTTCGCAGCCCATGGCTCAGAGCACAAGCGACGAGGAGGATAGGCAACTTGGTGAGGATGTCAAGATTACAACTGAGCAGACATATACCTTCTACATTGGTGACATTGATGAGTTGAAGAAATTCTTCCGCCGGAGACTTGATGAACTTACTATGAAGCCTCTGCGCCCTATTGTTACAGCTTGGATTAAGCAGATTGAGCCTAAGCGGTTAAGCCGTTACGGGCGATATCATAAACAGCTACCCAAAGACCAGCCCGAGGAATGCTCTCCACCCTGGTGGCCTCGAGACGTTAACTATGAAGAGCCATCACACCTTGATAAGGCGGGTAGGTAGCCACTCTGATTATGTATGGGTCGACAGCTAACGCTTCTTAGGGCTTTTGACGCTAGCAGTCGACATTATGCTTCAACACCGTCTCATTGACAAGGAAAAGCGCAAAGGTTCTTGGGTGGCGAAACTTCGGCAAGCAGCCCAGTATGCTGTCGAAACAACACCTCCTGAGCAATTCTCTTCATCTAAAGGATCCAACTTTAGTGAGAAGATGCAAAGTCGGGCCCTAGCAGAGATCCTGCCCAACTTGTTCGAGACTGCGCAGCTATACGAAGATCACTTTGCATTGCACGGCCACTACGAGGGCTCTGGTAAACCAGATCCTGGCAAAGGAAAGCGAGTGACCTGGCAACCGCTCACTAGGCCAGCTCGCGAGCCCGTAAATCCTAGAAAGCGCCCTCGAACAACCAACGAAGGCACAGCCCCTAGATCAGAAACCGACATCGAAATTTCTGGAAACGAGACCGAGATAGACGACTGTGTAACTTTGTCTTACCTGCGCGGCCAAGAATTGACTTCGGACCAACCTGAGGGATCTGATATCTTCAGGTCAAAGGAACCTCCCCAGCAGACACCTATCTCGGCCTGTGGAGATACAGCTGCTCCCCTCCATACATGCCCTTGTAGTACCACTACGACACCCAATGTTTCTTTTGGGCAACCGATGCATGGGCTTCCTCTGGGCGAGAAGATGGACCTAGACGTTGGGATGGCTGCTTGCACACCGCTCCATGATCACACCTACATTAATGGCGGCAATCTAATGCAGTACTCTAACAGCGACCCAGGGTACAATCAATACTCGGTTGAGCTACAACAGGATGGTTGCCCCCTTTTCAGCACGTCTCAATCCGGATTTTCTTTGTCCTCGACACCATTGTATCACCATCCATTTCCTGCATTTGATGCGCACTTTTCTCATCCGGTTGAGCATGTAGCATTCCACGACGACACTTATTATCCTCATGGCTCCAAGATGTATACGTCGTCACCGGCTAATTCTCTGCACTTGTTCCATGATACATCCAATGATGCTGCCATGGCATGCCAGGCGGAGGCGCCTCGATACTAACGCACAACTTGGCGTGTATATACCGGATTGATTGTCAATTTCTTTCGACTCATGATGCTCTGCACTCACGATTTACGGCCGCGAATATTTCATCAGCTCGGCTTCACAGCTTTCGCATCTTGTTCTAGACTGGCAAAGGGATGACCCCAATGCTGCTTGCTTCGGCACATTAGCTGGAACATATTTCGGATTTCGATTGTCAGATTTCCAGACTTTTTGTTCCCTCAGTCCATCGTGTCTTGCGACATACCCTCTACGACGTAACGCTGCTCACGACTGCATTGCAACGACTTCGGTACACCTTGATGAATGTTTGAAGGAGAAATGTAATTAGGGATTATGGTTAATGTTATTGGGCTGGTGGTCTGCTTTCACTGCGAGGTGTCGTACGTGTAATTGAAAATGGTGGAGTTAGCAGAGGAGATGTGTTGGGAAAGGCCATGAAGCAGACGACCACAGTGCGAGCTTTTGTACTAAGGGATGGCGATGCAGCCCAGGCGACTGTATCTTGATAGAAAAGACGCGTAAGCGTCGCGTATTATTAGCCAAAGATATTTCGGGTATGTTACATCAAAGAAAGATCCATGGGCAGAATGCGCAAAAGTGTTGGAGGACCTGATTGTGACCAAGCCTAAGGGGTCACACGTGTGCCAAGGCGCTAGTACCGCGTCACAGGCCCGGGCTTGTGAAGTCCATCGCAGCTCGTTGTTCGCGACTTTAATGGGTCTTTGTTGCATTCCAGCAGCCGCCAGTCGTTCTCAACCCGACTCGGCCAGCAGCACACGCCCAGAACCCCGAATCGAACTCGCTTCTACATCCGACACCAGAGCATTCCCAAGATCCGATCATTGACTGTGACGTTGCTCACTGATCGCGCACGAAACATACCTTGTGATAGAGTCGCGACCATGGCGACTCCGCGCGGTGGAAGGGGTGGTGGGAGTGAGAGAGGACGCGGTGGAAGAGGCAGTTATACTCCGAATTCGAACCGTGGACGTGGAAAGAACAACGCGCAGAGCGATGATGAGCGACCGGCGCAAACCCTCTATACGCGTGGACAGGGACGACAGCACACGGGCGGCAGTAGAGGCGGTTCAAATGGCAATGGTGGATTTAATGCGCGGGGCGGCCATTTCGGTTCTTCGTAAGTTCTCTTATTTCCTCTGACATGGCTACAGGTCGTGGGCGGACCAAGGGCGTCATCACCCGGATACACTGCACGTAATCACTATCATTGCGACATATGCCAGACGAGGGCTTCTTATGGCTGCTCGCGGCCTATTCTAACCGGATATTTCCAGGAATGCCTTTGCCTCGAACAAGAACAACACACCGAACTTTGCGCCCCACGAATATCAGAAACGTCTGAACTACGTACGAGCCTTCCTACCCATACTTTGGACCAGCGCTGATAGGGCTAGATTAAATCCGAGCGACCCAAGATTCGTGAGCAATTCATTAAAAACGGGCTCATGAACCCAGAAGGCCAGATGCGCTTAAGCGACTCAGTCAAGCTCTACGGCATATGCGAGGAAATGTGCCCAGAGTACGAGCGCGTGCGTCGCATTGTTGAGTTAGATGTTAAGGCGCCGGAATGCGTGAGTACCAATTGCAATATCCAAAGTACTCTTACTGACCTGTGCAGACCCCCGAGACCCAACACCTACCCAGCCGCAGTCAGCGCATACCAGACGAGTCGCGCATGGTCAAGGCATATGCACGCTCTGCAGCGGGTATGGATGTAGAATTGGTTTCAGAGATTCGCTCACCCTCCACTTGCTTGGTAAGTCGCTAGTAGCCTCTAAGCAGCAGTTGACTAACTACTGTAGAAAACCCTCAAGTACCTTTTTGGGCGACTGGACGAAGACGACTTCCAATTCCTTCATTCGTGGCTTTGGGACCGAACACGAGCCGTCCGGAAGGACTTGCGCACTCAGCGCATTGAGAACAAGACCGATATCGCAATCCTCCTCACTTCCCTTGAGTACAGCGCCCGTTTCTACATGCTATCGGCTCATCACATGGCTCAGAGTACAAAGGACGATTACTCGCATCAGCAGGATGTCGAGCAACTGAATCAGACTTTGATCTCACTGAAGGAGCGATATGGCGACAATCGACGAGCTGGCATTGTGTCAGAGAACGAGGCCGAGTTCTGGGCGTATCGCTTGATTTTGGCTCCTATTTACGCCAATACACAGCTCGAAAACGAGTTACACCGCCTGCCCAGCGACCTGCGAAACAATCCACGAGTGAAGACTGCCTTGGAAATCTTTCGTGTTCTCAAAACAATCATTATTCACCGAAATTACGACAATTTCGTTCAATGCCAGTCCAACTGGAAGGTTTTCTGGGATCTGATCAAGTCACCGAGAGTCTCATATCTGATGGCATGCGCTGCTGCGATCTGCTTCAACAGGGTACGCCACGTCGTACTCGACTCAGTTTGGCGTGCCTATCGAGTTGGCCAATACAGACATCAAGTCAGTGTTGAAGAGTGGACGACTGGCAAGCTGAGAGAAGTCCTGGGCATGGATACTGACTCGGAGGCGGTTCAATTCTGTGAAGCTCACGGTTTCGTGTTTGAAGTGAACGAAGCAGGTCAGACTTTCTTGGATATCAAGCAAAAGAGTTATGAGAGGAAAGCTGTGGTTCTTCCCAAAGCCGATGTCAAACCTCAATTCTTCTCCGCATCAATTGTCGAGGCCAAACGTCACGGCCGTCCACTTTCAGCCGTCATCGCAGGCTTGACCGTACAAGAGACTAAGAAGGGCGGTTTCTCTTTTAACAATGCATTCACAAACCAGGTTGGTCAAGCGGAAGACCAAACGTCGTTATTCATTCCAGAGAAACCAAACATCTTCTCTCAGCAGTCAAACGGACCAAAGTCATTAAGTGGCAGTTTCAACCCAACGGCTTCTCCGTTCCAGCCCAGCAGTGCACCCACAGGAAGTTCTAATCCTTTCGTCAAGGCTCCACAATCCGGCGTATTCGACCCTTCAAAGAATCCCATCAAATTCGCGTCGCCGGCAGATGCGAACACGAACCCATTTCTTCAGCAAGATAACTCTTCGCCTTTCCAATCTGCACCACTCGCAACTCCAACAAATCCTTTTTTGAAAAACAACACTACTCCGCCTCAGCCTACCACATCTGCGGCACCAAGCAACCCTTTTCTACCTTCGCCGTTTACAGCTGCGCAGTCGAAATTCCAACCACAAGATTCGACTTCGGAACCTAAGCCAGCCCCACCAGCCGAAGCTCCTAAGTCAGCTCCCGCCTTCAATTTCACTACACCGGGCTTCAACTTTGCACCTCCACAGGAAACTACAGAACCCGGGGGTTCTTCTACATCAGCAGGGTCGTTTTCTACCACACAGGCAGGATCATTTTCTTTCACACCAGCAGGTTCACCACCCCAAGAAGATACGTCCGCACAGGAAGCTGAAGCTGAAGCGCAAAGAGCGGAAAAAGCCCGGCTTGAAGCAGCTGAGAAACAACGACGGGAAGATGAGGCACGACAACGTGTGCAAGAAGCGCAACGGTTAAAGCAAGCAAAAGAGGAGGAGCGAAAGAGGGAAGCTGCTGCCGCGGTAGAACGTCAACAAAAAGAGCAGGCAGAGCGAGAGCGCAGAGCACGTGAAGAGCAGGAGGAATTGGCCCGGCAAGCGAGGCAACGTCAAGCACAAGAGGAGGAAGCTCGGGCAAAGCGACTTCGTGAAATGGATTTGGCATTACATGCGCTTACATCGGATGTCATGTTTGACCCTCATGAAGGATTGTTGATGCAGTTCATCGAGAATTCGGTTATCAACATCTCGAATGAAGCTGCAAAGTCAGTGGAGATGGAGAGGAGAGTGGCGCACGTGGATCGCAAATACGAAAATTATTTGGTGGAATTGAAGCGGGCGGGATTGGCCAAGATTATGGCCGCGGTTCAAAAGAAAAAGCGAATGCAAAAGGCTAAAGAGAGGAGGAGACGATTGAAAGAGAAGCGTATTTGGACAATGTCGATGGGACAGAAAGAGCACACAGACGCGTCTGTCCTTGGGCAGACTGTTGCCCTGAACGGTGAAGCAGGGCCAACAAGTCAGCCCAACGGTTATGCAGCACCGCAACAACGTTCGTCCAACACTCGGCGTGCTAAACGAACAGAAGAGCGGCGAAACCTGCAGGTCTCCGAAGCAATCAACACAACAGTTCCTGATGCAACTCCTAACAACCCAGGTCCGAGGGCAATGGGCCGTTCTCACAACAATCCGCCAAATACAAACACAAGCAAAGAAAGCTCTTCGGCACTCGCGTATTCGCAAGCCTACCGCCAGGCCGCTGCAACGGCACCTGTAGATCGAACAGAAACAGACTGGTTCAAACTACGAGCGATGGGCATTGACCCTAGCAAACACCGGAAGAGGAGTTTTGACTTTACTTCTTCTGATGAAGAAAAGCCAAACCTGATTGAGTCCAAGCGGCCGAAGCTGTTATCAAAGTCTCCTTCAGTGGAAAGTCAATTACCACCTACCCCCAAGACTATGGACGAGGAGCAGGTTGATCGGGCTGAAGCCATCAAACAGTCCTTCAAGGGCTCGACATACACAATATCACCATCTCATTCGATCAACGGGGCTGCCTCTATCAGTGGTCGAGCCTCATTCAACGATTCTACCAGCAGCTTGATCGAAAGAGCTCGAAGGATAGTGGCCGGTGCCAAGTCAGAAATGCCGCCACCTCCACACACCAATAGCGCAATGTCTGTCTATAGGGCTGATTCCTTTAACGGAAATGCCAGCCAACTCATTGCACGTGCCAAAGGGCTTGCAAGACATCATGATACAACTTCAAATGTACAGCATGACTGGAGCCGAAGCGTTCCCAACCTTGGCTTCTCAGCATCTCAGAGCCAGCGGTCAATGTATGGTAACAGTAGCTTCGGCAGCACGGTGTCGACCAAGGACCGTCCAGCATACTGGGGACGTACAAGTCGGTTTGTACCTCGCCATCTCTACGGTCGCGGTGCGGACGCTGTTCGTGCGTACAGAGTAGAGCAGGGCCTTAGCAAGTCACCGTCCAGCACACGACCGGCTAGTGCAGAGCCTATGAGTTTCTCATCTCCAATCCCAACCCAGCAGTTGTTTGTCCAGCACGCACAAGCCCGAACCCAGGGCTACACCCAGGAACAATACAGCGATACGGAAGAAGCCAGTGGCGTTGACGTCGTTGATGTTGACGCTGAAGACTCAAATGCCGTCATGACCGATGATGAGGGATTTGCTGGTGCAACAAACTCGTATCCTGGCTCTCAGTTCCCTGCTGCCCAGTCCAATCATCAAGACTACGACGAAGACGCAGATTCCGAGATGCTGGAAGGCGAGGACGACGACGAACTCCTCGACTACGACGAGTACGACGAGGTTGATGAGGACGAAGAGATTGCAGACGATTTTGACGAAGAGGAAGAGGAAGAGGAGGATGAGTCTCAAGAAGAAGAAGAAGAAGAAGAAGAAGAAGAGGATGATGATGGGGGCGAAAACACCATGAAACCCGGAGCAACCGAAGACGACGCCATTGAGCTTTCTGACTAGGACCTTTTTCTTTGCCGAGGAGAGAATGTATTATATTTTACCCAAACAAGCATTTAGTATCAGCATAGCGATGGCGTTTTTTCTATCTTTTCTTGTCATCTTTTACCGTTTTGCTGGTCAAGGACAGGGTGGAACAGTATGCATGGGTGTAAGTGGAAAAGAGATACCCAGTTACTAGCTACGGAATGCGAGTGTTTCAGCGAGCGGTGTTCAAAAGTAAATGGAAACTTTTCAAGCATTCAACCAAGTCTACTCTGCCTTTACAGTGAATCACTGATGCGTTGTCATGAATCCCCAATATGAACTTTAAACCGAATCTTCAAACTAGGTAGGATGATACGCCTTATACACCTGCAACGCCCCCTCAACACTCTGCACCACGCCAAAGAAAACGGTCAAGCACAGAATCACCATGGCAACCCAAAACGTATACCACTGCGCCTTATCCCGCCTATCCCGCCACTGCTGCAAAATCGACCTCCGATGCGGCGCCTCGAACACCCTTTCCAACGCCCCCAGCCTTTTCCTCCAATACCTAAAGTCGCTCCCTCGACAATCCCTGAGTCGACCCAGTTCCAAAATGCGCATATCGACGCCGGCCAAGTGCGGTGAATGCGTGACCCACTCCCTCGTTTTGGCATCGTTGGCCGGGAAAAGCAGGGCCAGCGTGTCCAGTGTCTCTGCCGTTAGGCCATCCGGTAAGATGCCATCTTGCCATTGGAGAAAGGAGGCGTGGTGGAAGATGTAGAGTTGGTTCCCGCCGCGCGAGAGGTGCAGGTGGTCTGCTAAATTACTTGTCCAGGTGATTTCGACGCCGCAGTAGCGGTGCAGTTTGTAGGCTGTGAAGTCCTCGCCGAAGAGCATGTCTACTCCTTCATTTTCGTAGCTTGAAGGGTCCTGCGGTACGAAATGTGATTGGAGAAGGTCTTGCAGGCTGGATGTGGGGGATGTCCAGGTGAGGGAGTGGTGGGTTCCGCGCCGGGTGTAAGGTAAGGGGCCGATGTCTGTCATGCTGAGGAGCCGGGCGACGAGCATGACTGAGCCTTCGAGCATGGTGTCTGCTTCTTCGGGGGTTCGGCTTCCCCGCATGGAGGGTTGGATGTGGGATTTTATGGCGGCTTTTGGGGTTGAGGAGTGCATGTGCTGAGCGACGGATTGGATGTCTACATGTGTGCGAATTGTGGTGTATTTGCCCTTGGCAGTTTGGATTGCGGTGTTGCATTGGGTGTTGTAGTAGAGCATATATGGAGCCCAGTAGAGTTCTGATGGGTCAGTGGAGTTTGGGGTGGTTTGATGCCATAGTTGGGATATGATTTCAAGTTGGAGTTTTTCGTCTCCGACTGGCACACTTGGGTTGTCTTGGAGTGACATTTTTCTTCGGATATGGTTGTCCTGGGAGAAGGCTATTGATAATGGGATTGTTAATCAGGCAATGAATGTGACGTTGCTCAGCTCGCATGCTGAAGCGAGGAACTAAGTGGCAGGTTACGCGATAGTATGTATGCAGGAGGGGCTGCGCCTCAATGCTTGCAGATGCGCTTCAGCCTTGGGCCGGAAATGATAGGATGAGAGTTTCCTCGCTGCGCCGCAGGCACACTGGCGCGTCTGAGGTTGACCACCCCGCTATCTGCACAGCCGTACTCCTCTGCTCAATTAATCACCTCCTTAATGAACCCCCTCTTACTTAATCCCCAGTGGCAGCATTCTTGTGCTCAATCATTCTGTGCCACTTTTCAATCCTGACAGTTCTGTGTCACTTCGATTCCTAGTCAACCGTTACAATGTTCGAGTCACGTGTCCCAATGCTTCGGCGCACCCGCCAATTCACCTCACCTGAGGAATCCGTAGGAGAACTTATGGCCCGATGCTGCTGCCTCAAGTACCCCCCATGGCAAAAAGATGACCTTTGCTGGGACGTCCGAGGTGAGGCCTTGAAAGCCTATAACAGCTTCAGCCGTCTGGTATGGAAGAAACTCGAGAATGAATGCACTGAACGCCCTGATCGCTCGGGCCTCATTGTCAGTGTGTACATGATTGGCTACTCTCCATCTACAGCCGTCCCTGTTCTTGTGTTTGTAAGCAAGAACAGAAACGCAGCCAAGGAGGCCCAGAAGATTGTGAAGAAGAGTGGAATTCTGAAGCGGTACCCGGGTTTCGAGACTGCGATTATGGATCTCTTGCCTACTGGGAGTTTGGTTCTAGTCGCTCAGGGGCCAAAGAAAGCAACTCAAGATAATCTGCCCGTTCCGGGTCGGCGTGAGGTGTATTACGATCCCAGATTCGAGATTGAGTCGGTAGGAATGGCACTGTATGTACGAGACGAAGATGGAACATTTGAAAAAGCCACTGGCAATGTGGTGGTTAGCGAACAGGGACTCGGGTACTTTACAGCTGCACACGTCTTCCAAGCACAAGATGTGGCGACGGAGCCTGTTGTCGGATGGGGCGAAGACGCCAGTGTTGATGATGACTCGGACAGTGATGACTTCGACGAAGACGACCTCGAACTCCTATCGCGATACAGCCAAAGCTCGCAGGAGTCACTGTCTCCTGACCTGACTGAAAGCACAACCCTCTCCTCCTCATCCCTCCCATCCTCCTCCTCAGAAACAGTCGACACCCAAGACGCAACGACCTTCACCCCATCCTTGCCTCCTATACCCGCCTCTTCCTCCCCCACAGCCCCAGAACCCTACGTAAACCGCACCATGCGTCTCGACGACATCGACCTCCACCACCTCGGCCACTGGACCCCGACCTCCCCAACCTCAGCCCTCAACCAAGACTGGACCCTCATCACCATAACAAACACCACTGTCCTATCTTCCCTCTCCAACCCCCTCACCCAGCCTCCCCTCCTCCCCCCCTCAACCCCGCACCCCCCTCACAAAGCCGAAGTAGTAATCCACACAACATGGGGTCGCCTCCGCGCCTCGCTCCTCGAAACACCCGTACTGTTACGTCTGCCTGGTAGCAGTAAAGTAGCGGAGGTGTTGCGGTTCGAATATAGGGGCAGCCTTGGGGTGGCGGATTGCGGGTCTTTAGTTGTGGGGCAGGGAACCGGGGAGGTGTATGGGCATGTTGTTGCGGGGGCGGCGGAGGGGAGGGTGGGTTATATGGTTTCTGCGGTTGGGACGATGGGGGAGATGCAGGCGTGTGGTGGATGGAGGGTTGTTGGGCTGGTGGAGTAAGGGTGTGTTGGCTGCTTGTGTGTGTGTGTAGGGAGTTAATAAAGTTTAGATATTAGTTTTTTTTTCTGGTAAAAAGGGGGTTCTGAATATGGGATTAGGATCATTAGATGATTTTTATAATGTTTTCTTCGAATAGTATTCTATATGAGGTCATAAACTCGAGTTGTGAGAATTGTCTGATGTGATCGATCTGATGCGTAAAAATTTAGCTACACCCCCTGACAACAAACAAAAACGCAGAGAAAGCAAAAAACAGCAATCAAGAATTTCCAATCATATATTATAAAAGCCGCTAACAGACGGGTATCATTACTACAACTTAAGAGACGCAATTCTATATAGATTATGCCTGAACAAAAGAAAAAAAAGAATATATCTCATTATACCTCTTTCTCCTGCACTCTGAAGGTCTTCTTGTGCAGGGGCGTCTCATCCCCAAACACGCTGAGCGCAGGCGCATCATTACTGCTCCTCGAGCTGCTCTCTATAAAATCTCTCCTATCAGTCGTCTCCTTGCGATCCTCATGTGTAATGCGGAGTTCAGTATGGCACTGAATACCGCCAAGATCGAGACTCTCATCGCTATCGATCTTGCTGAGACCGGCGCTGCGCATATTCGAAGGGTGGTTACGCTTAGAGCGGTTGGTAAGGTGTAGGGATTGTGCGGCGGCGGCAGAGCGCGAATGCGATTCGGGATCGGTGGTGCTGTGGAATTCTTCGGGGCCCATGTCGTTTTGGGATTTGCCCTGGGCAAGGCGGACGACGAGCGAGGCCATGGACATCTCGATGTTGAGCTTGACCATGTAGGCGACGGGGTGGAATTGAATGTAGACGACTTGGTTACGGAGGAACATGAGGCCGATGAGGAGGGCGTCCATGGCGATGGAGATGAGCATGAGCTTACCGTTGAAGCTGATGAGTGGCGCGTATTTGGTGAGGCCGTGCTGGTTTACCAATCGAATCTTGACAGTGCGCAAGAAGTACCAGTTGAGCGCTGCGTCGACGATGAGGATAAGAACTTTGGAGATTTTATCCCATACATTGTTGATCTTGACGAAGGTATCGTTGATAGGGGGATTTGTATGCGAAGGGATCCAGATGCAGAAGACGGCAATGTTGATGGCAGTGATGAAGATGAAGGTACCCCATTTGAGTTTCTTAATCGTACTGCGGTGCTCGGCGATGAGTGCAATTCGATTGATGATAATTTGCATGAGCAGTTGAATCTCAAACACCCAGAAGAACAGGATGGAGAACAAGACTGGTATACTGTGGCATTGCGTGTTAGTGGATATCTCTTGTAGCAGTGTTGAAGAAAAGAATCACTCACCTCGGCCCAACTGTGTCATTGAGAAAGAGCCATCCAATGACTCCAATGCAGACGTTGACTAGAATCTCACCCCATACCATGTAAATGTAGGCAGAGCGTAATGGGCTGTGATTCCGCCGTGTCTGCTTGATTGCCTCCCATACTGTCAAGAAGCCGAAGCCAAGTGTGAAGCCAGCAGCAAGGGCTGCAAGCTGGAAATCCTGAACAGATGCCATTCTGCTCCACGACTCTGATTCGAGTCTGAGTCGATTCCGGGGAAGAAGGAGACTCGGTGAATTAAGATCCTACCGGGCAAAAGTGCGGGGGCCTCTGCAACAACAATACATATATCATTCTAGACCCTTGCAAGGAGACATTACTAGATCGGCAGGTGCACAGGTGCCGGGGCGAGATCTCGAATGGCGAACTGACCAGCCAAGGGTGGTTCTAGGCAGGACGGCTTGTAGCGTGAAGCTGAACTGCGAGCGAACGGGCTAGCTCATCTCTTGGTCTTCTACTTCGCCAATCAGCATCCGAAGACGCCACTCACTAAAATCCTGAGACTGCTGTGGAGTAGAGACGCGGGTAGCGTTGCACGGTACAACTGCCCCGAAGTAGACAGCGAGCCGCGCCACTCTCGACACTGCGGGCACTACATTCTTTAGCAGATGTCAAAAACGCAATGCGAAACTCTGTTACTCAAGCCTACAGAGGGACCAGGCGCAGTAGATATGTAAGTATGTTTGTGTACCGCGAGTATACTTCCGAACGCTTGGAACGTCGATACTACTTGAGATCTCCCCCGGTCATCTGATGTGGGTCTGCCGATCATGATTGACATGACCATGCAAGGAACATGGTCCCGCAATTCCGCTTAGTGGAGGAACAGTTCCCATGGCCCTGCTCAGGGTGGCTTTGCCTTTGCTCTCATGAGTTTGCTGTCACTTTTGTTGCTTTTGCGTGGTGGCTGCTGTCATAGCAATAGTGCTACAGCCGCAACCGTCCCATGTCATGATTCAACAGTCGCCAAGAATCTAGAGTTGCCTCCCGACCACAGCAGCCAATTGATACAGTCTCGAAGAACCGCTTACTCGCCTCTAGCGTCATCGGAACCAGCCGTAATCGCCATCGCGGCCCCTGACTACGAACGTCGACATGGCCGAAGAAGACCCGCATGAGGGGGTGTCGACATGCTTGGTTGAGTAGTTCCTATAAGTAGCCTTCAGCTTGGCCACTGGCCGATCTTGTCCGAGGTTGCCAGCACACTAACAAAATTACAAATGCTGCATTTGGCACGCGGATTCAACAATCGAATTCTTCATTTACAACGATATGCATTCGTCCTTATTCAAGAGGAGATGCACATGTAGTCCATGTATACTTACTAGACGAGGTGTTGTGTAACGTGGAGCCGAAGATCCTTCCGATGGCGTTCAGCCCCATCGGTAAATTTTCGGTACCCGCCAGTCTGGCTGCACGAGATGGTACCATGTTGTTGGTAGGTTTTCCGCGGACCGACTGTCGCGTGCTTTTAAGGTCCGCTTGAGTTGCCCGCTTTTCACGCAGATTGAGCTATACACACGCTAGAGTGCAAGTAGCCAATGTTTCACTTTTGCCTTCTCCAAGGATGTTTGTAGATCACGAACGGGAGTGTGGGCCAAGACGACACTACTTTGTCGGCAGAGTAATATGTAAGCAGCGCTTCATACGATGGGCGTATTGTCGAACGGAAGTGGACCTATCCGACAAAGTAGACCTACCCGACGAAATGAACCAGTAGACTTGCAATGTCACTGAGCAAAAGGAGCTGAGATGATTGACCCTACGTGGAGAACTAACGGAATACAAGTCAAGCAGGTTCCGGAGGGATGTGTCCGGTGGTCTCTTTTTCCGCCACTCTCACGAGTCAATACAGACTCACCCGTTCCTGGCCATGAGAAAATATTCAAGACATGATGGCCAATCAGTCTTCTGCATCAATACTAAACTCTTCTTGAACCTCCACAATCCTGACACCCCGCTGGTCGGCGATCAGACCCATAAGACCCTGGCCCACGTCCTTCAGTTCATTATACTCATGCAGTAGCTTGATGTGTTCTTTGACGACTTTGTTCGCTGCGGCCATAACGTCCGCGTCAGTAGGCTCGTCATACCGTCCATCTGCGCCACCGTCAGAAGACGCCATTTCTTCCATAAGAACCTGAATCGCCGGGAGACTACGCAGAGAAGTTAATAGGGCAGCCTTGTGCGCTTTCAACTCCGATAGAATGGTTTCCTGGGGAATTCCTGACGGCCTCCTCCGCGTAGCGGCTGTCGGCGAAGCTCCCGTAGTCGGTTGGTCTTGAGACTCGGAAGTGGAGTTACAGGGTGCACCACTCGCATTGAGATCATGACTTTCAGGGTCCTTCGGTTGTGATGCCTGTTGAAGTGCGGAGCTTGGATCCTGAGGCTTTTCTTGCGAGGGCTGAATTTGCGGTGTGAAGGGGGCGGACTCTTGCGCGCTGACTATTGACTCATGGTAAGGACTGCTTGGCCTGCAATCACTGGTACTTGTTTGTGGGTTTCCACCTTGAATTTCACCAAAGTCGGGATGCAAATCAGCGTCGCCAATGTCCTTGGGCGCGGATAAGGCTGATGCTGTGATGCCTGGGGTAGTCGGATTTGAGGAGCTGGTTACTACTGCAGAGATACTTGTCGTGTCAGATGTACCCATGGTTTGAGATCTGTGCACCTAAATTGTGTGAGCAAGGACACGGGAGGACGAGCGGGTTAAGAACGGACTGCGCTCTCGCTTGGATAAATCATGACTGCACTCTGGATTGCATTTTGGTCCACGTCGTTTAATCTGGGCTGCGATGAAATGTCACATATGACGTCATCTTCTACTACAACGGTTCGTCTATGGGGAGCTTGCGGTTGACATGTACTGGAGATGTCTCGAGCAGACTGAGGGCAAGCATCTTTTGGCGGAGAGGTGCTGTCTGGAGTTGGTGCAGCACTGATGGACCGCGATTCCCCCGCTAGTGACCCCGGTTGCACCGTGCTTCTGTTCGCAACTGAGGCATGAAGGGTTCCGTGTGCAAACCCCAGGGGGTCCATATGCGCGCGGGCGGCTCGTTCATGAGGACTCATTTGAAGTGCTGCTCCTTCCTCTTGTGGAAGCATTGCGTCTTGGGGCTTTACGTTAGTATGGTCAGTACTAGATGCATCGGTATCGACTGAAGCGCCGTTGCGATCAAGATCCAAGCCAACGGTGCTTAGTGGAGCCGTATTGGCGTTGTCTTGTGGGTGAGCTTGGTAAGTGCAGTACGCGTCCTGAAGGGGCTCCTGAGGCGCAGCAGAGGCCATGGCGTGAAGCTTATCCGCCACATCAGATGAACCAACACCAGGCGAAGACATGATAAGCTCCTCGTCCGAGTCAGCAATCTCTGTGACGCTCTTGTCGATAGCCATGTTGGCTGATGTTAAAGTTACAGAGGGGCGTAACGAGTGTACGTTGGTAGCAGTTGTTGTGGTTGGCGGACGGAGCACGGCGGAAGCCAATCAAGGGGTCCGCCGGCTCACGTGAACTGGAAATTACGACGACGCATTGCATCAGCACGAGAACAATCGCGGCCCAGGGTCATCTCCCCCCAACTCCTGCCTTGATACGCGCCTGATGTCGCCTTGAAACTCTCCACGTCTTGCGAAGGATCCTCATAACCCACAGTCGCGCCACCCGAATTGCCGTCTGAAGCGCGATAGACAACATGGGCCTTATCACAACAAGAGTGGCCGTTGCCACGCTCCTCTGCAGCACCATGGCTACCGCACACGTCCACGAAGTCAGCAAAATACAGCAAGGAGATGCCGTCTCCCAGGATCCGATTGTACGCGCTACCAAGGAACGGTGTGTTGTGGGTACTAGCTAACCTTTGCCAGGATTCGGTGCTATGGACACACATCTTGGTACAGTCGCTCGCGTGGGGCATCATCTTCCCCACGGGAATGGTCTTGGGCGTACGATAGCTGACTTCCGCATACACACAGCAAGGTCAAACTAACATCTCTACCAGATAATACGATCCAAATGGCACGTTCCCGTACAAACACTCGGCTCTATCCTCGCAATCATCGGATACTTCCTAGCTCACCACCATGGTGGCAGACAGTTTTCCCCTGACAACATCCACGCTAGATTTGTTCCCGTCATCATGCTCATGTTGATTTCCCAGATTGTAATGGGCGTTTACCTAAAGCTTCATCTCGAGAAAGGCATCAACGGAAAGATTCGCAAAGTGGCAGTAAAGGTGCACGGAGTGGTCGGCAAGGCTCTGCCAGTCATAACATGGGTCCAGTTCCTTTTCGGAGGCATCACAGCCCTGGGTTTCTGCAGGGCCGATCATACCGGACAGTGCCTGGCTCACTTCATCATGGGTAGTGCCTTCATCGCATACGGCATCATTCTCTTGATCTTGCTTTTGGTTGGACAGATGTGGCTGCGGAGAACAGGCAGGAGCCAAGAATTCTTTGATTCGATTGTCATTGCCGCCTGGGGCTGTGTCAACACCTTTACCGAGCACCGATGGGGACACCCGTGGGTTCACAACGACCTTCAACATACATCCATGGGCATTGTGTGGTGGGCAGCCGGTCTGGTCGGTATCTGGCTCAGCCGAAAGCGAAATGGACAGCCCAAGCGCAACTTGATCCCGGGTATCGTCATTCTCATGACTGGATGGGCCATGTCGGCGCACCCCCAGCATCTGCCTCTTTCGACTATGATTCATACCGTCTTTGGATACACCCTGATGGCTGCGGGCGCTGCACGTATCATTGAAATTTCGTTTGTGCTCAAGGACAGGACATCCGTCACTTCCGATGGCTCAGACCCCAACAGTTTCCAGTACATGACGCCGTTCCTGCTTATGGCTGGTGGATTCATGTTCATGGGTGCTACCGAAGAGCAGATGCAGCTTCTTTCTGATGCCAATGTCACCCATGTGTCGTATGTGCTGATTTTGTTCAGCATTGCTTTCCTGCTGTTCCTGTGTAAGTATTTCATAGTCATTTCATGTCTTCGTAAGCTAACATGACATTAGTTGTGAACATGCTCATTCACTTGTATGCAGTCTATGCCTGGGAACAGGACGACAAAGCTGATGACGAGGCGCCTCATCTAAACGGACGTGGCGACGGTGCTGGCTACAGCAGAGTGGATCGCAGGACAATAGGTGCAGACGAGTTCGAGTTGGAAGGTCTCGACTCCGACGATGATAGCAGCGTGACATATGGAAGCGGTAGCGGCAGCGGAAGAAGCAAGGAGAGTAGGTCGTTTGCTGCACAGCACTAGTTGATGAGGTTCTCCAGCATCTATTTCCGCATTCATTTGCATAGAATGGCGTCATGGCAAGCATACTTTGAATATCTGATGGTGCGATTTATCGCCATAATTTCATAATAGAAGCAATACCGCAATCTTAGACGTTTTTTTTTCTTCATACTCACCTCATCCGTATTTTGCCAGTCCAAGCAACTGTTTTACTTCCCTAGCACGCCTTCCACTCCAATCCTCTCGCCATCCCACGTGTCCATATCGCCATTACCCTTCCATCTCACACGTGGCGAAATCGCCGAATTCTGTTGAGCCTCCATCAGGTTACATGTGCTGAGCGGCAAAAAAATAATAAGCCGCAACATGGCCAAAAAAAACAGGTACCATTCAACCACGAGATTTTTTTTACAGACTATGACACACGAAATGGCTGTTAAGGGTAACTCGTGTGTCAAACCCAGCTCCTACCATGTTTATGTAGTGGGTACCACTTGCGGTATATGAAAAAAGTCGGATGAGGCTGAGCCGATACAAGCCGAATGTTCTTATTTTGTAATACATTGCCGGTTTCGACGCGGGAGCTAGGCTGGTATTGGGGAATATGCGGTGATGACTTTGCTTTTTGCGGTATAATGGGTGCTGGAAGTGGGAGTTAGTCAGGGCACTTTGGGGGTGGAGAGGCTTAATTGTGACGTCTTGCGGTGTGCCATTTGACGTTTGGTTCTGGAATGTGGTATTTGTGGTGCTAGGCTATGGGTTTTCCTTGGGTGCGTGTAATTGACCCACCTTTCTACAAGGCGTTGTGGGTGGTGCACGTGTAGTGGTCTCACGATCTGGGGCGTTGGTGTGTGTGGGTTTGAGAAATTTTTCTGTCCTTGTTTTCTCGATAGAGGAGTTTTCTGGGGGGTATATAAAGAGCGTGGAGAGAGTCAAGCATAGAATAGCATCGACAAGTTTATCAGTATCAAGTCTACACCACGTTACTACAATTATCTATCTGAAAGTTGATTGGGCAAAACAAAAATCACGAACCCAAACCTACTCATACTCTATGAACAAGATGAGCTCCACAAACTCCACCCCCAGCTCCTCCATCCCCGCAACCCCAGCCGCCCACTCCCGTCGCGCCTCATGCGACTCCGCCCATGACGCCCACCACTTTGTCGCCCTGCAGCAACAACGCGAGAACGAGGAAAAGACACAACACAAGATCAACACCAGCATCAAGAAGATGTGGGAGGGTGTCAAGAGGCATGCTAGTGAGCACCATCGCAGTGTTAATGCTGCGTATATGGCGAGTTATGGGTGTGGGGCTCCTGGTGGCGTGAAGAATTAGGGCTATGAGAGTTCTTGGGATTTCCAAGGGAGGGAGAGAGGGACATATTTGTCAACAATCAATCCGGACTACAATCCGAATCGATCTGGATCACCAACCCAATCCAATCCAATCTAGAGGTCCGGGTTGGATTGGATTGATTGTCTATAACTATGGAGAAGATAAAGAGCAGGGACTGGGAAAAGTTTTGAGTTTTTTGAGGATTGGATTTGGACTTGAATTTGATGCGGGAAAGCGATATACCCCTTTACGAAAACGTTTTTGATGCGCTGAGCAAGAGGGAAAGAGGAAAGGTATCAGGGTAATTGCATAGAATAGAGTTGAACATTTTCTCTTCTCTTTCTTCCACAATGGGGAGTAGTTTGCTTGAGTAGGAAGATACATATTTGTTTCAGACTTGAATGAATTTTATTTTCTTCCTTCGTGTATGAGTATTATCTGACTTCTAAGTAAGGTTAAGAGAAGACACAGTAGCGATACGTCTGAACTATTGCAGTGTAGGTAGCAAGATTAAAAACCGGGGAGGGCATTTTTAAAGAATCCCGCTTTCAGTACCCCAATAGATTGGCTACATCTATCACCCGCCACAGAGATTAAGCATCGTTATGACTAGATCCGCACGGATGCTAGATTTCCATCCTAAGTGCCCAAGTAACGTAGGGTCAGGGCAAGTATCAGAGATCCAGTCGAAATAATTTATTTAACATCAAATATCTGCACATACGGATGTGTAGAAAAAATAGCATTAGACACAAATGCTGGATCTTTAGGGGTATTAAGGAATATCTAAATTTCTAACATGACGATTAGCTTCTACAAAGTCAACAAATCTAAGAATCTTCAATGTAACAGGTGTAATGGCTCTAGCTGCTAGATTCACAGCTCCCCTGATATTACTAGAATCGTCATACAGTATTGACTTTATATTGCAAGTTGATCACATGCTAATCCAATACGACCTTGTAATTATCCAAGGCAGCAAGATGCTACATGAAAATTGAAAAGAGTAATTGATCTGCCACAACCAGCTGAGAAGAGGGAAACCTACATCTCAAGCACTACCAATTATCAAAAGCCACATCTCATGTCCGCCCAGCCTTGAACCCTCCCAACAACTCAACTCGGAGCTAACCACAATTAGCGCCGGACTTTACACCCATTACAGCATACACCTGCATAACCCAAGCCCACCACCACTGTCATACCGTAAGCTGAGCATTGTGTCTCTTATCCTGACACTCAGTACAACCGTACCCCGCATTCTTACCTCGCTGAACTCCCACCATACTATTTAACATACCCCTCGCGTCTCTCATAGAAACTCTACGATCAGCAACGAAACAAAAACCCGCCATGGCAACACGACCCATCCCCTTCATTCTCTGCGGTCGAACCCCCCAGATCGCAAAAGCAGTACGCGAAGGCGTGGCACCAGAGTATCATGGTGAGTCGCTCTTCTCCCCCCCTCCCTTATCAAACAACACAGCCAAAAAAGCAAAACTATATACTACTACTACATCCAACTCCTAAACCGCAACCCTCGCATACATACCCCAAACTAACCTCAATTCCCCTCCCCCCCCCACAGTCCCCCACACCTTCCTCTCCCTCGAAGAAGCAAAAACAAACATACCCCCCCTCCTCTCCCCCACCAGCCCCGATCGGCCCGTAGCAGTCGTGCTCGGCGGCGGCTTCAACGACGCCATGTTTGCAGAGATAAAAGAGGCGTGCGACACAGCACAAGGGGGAAAGGACGTGGCGTGGCTACGCACGGATATAACGGGTAAGGTGGCGATGCCTGATATGAATGATCATGAGGCGTATGGGAAGGCGATGGGTGCGAGGTTGAAAAGGGGGTTGGAAGGGTTGGGGGTGGGGAGTGAGGAGGGGGTGAAAGGGGGTGTGCATTTTTTCTAGTAGCGGTTTATGGATTATGGTAAGGTGAATTTATTGAGTAGTTCTTTATCTGGGTATTTGCAGAAGCGTCGGTGGATTAGTGCTTACAAATCCACAAATAATGACCTGAGAACATATACCAGGCTATCAAAGAAAAAGTGAGAACGTATATTAATCTCTACCACGCTTGATAGTCTATCGTGGTTGTTTCGTTTAACTCTCTAGATCATATAACAAACATCCGCCGGTACGAAAATTATACACAAACGCCTTGCCTACGGCGTCTTCTCCATCTCCATTCGCTTTACTTTCCACCCACTTGGCCCTATACCCTAACAACAAATCATGTAATTCCTGGAGATATTTTCGCTCCGCCAGCGGCATTCTCTGAATGAAGTAGCGCCAGGAATCCGGATCGCTGAGTCGGGTTTCCTTGAGGAGATTCATGACCTCTTCCTTTGATTCAATCGCAGCAATGGGTGCTGATTGAAATTCAGAAAGGAGTTCCGTGGAACGCGATTGTGCAGCTTCTACAATGGACCACTTATTCGACTTCTTCGAACGATGTTGGGCGATGAGAACGTCGACGTTGGCTTTCGTGGTGTCAGACTTATTGTTGGGAGCTGGTGCTGGAACTTTGATTTGACGAGCTGCTGTGCCTTCCCGTTCCTCCCTGTCGCGAAGCTCGTTGCGCAGGTAGTTAAGGAGATTGGAACTGTGCATGTCTGTGTCTTCCTTTTTGGCAATGGATTTCACTTTGAGCTCGGGTTTATCTGGCGCGACGCCGTGCTTGATCACAATAATCCAGCTGTGTCTGTCGTCTCGATAGTGGCGGAGTATGTCCTCAATAGAATGCGCGTCGATGGCAAGCTCAGCCGTATAGCCGTGAGATATGAGCTCTGATACCATTTTGATTCCAGTCGTTCGAAGGATGCTTGGATCAAAACTGGCAACCAGGCAATCGCAGCGGCGAGGCATCCATGAGAGAGATGGGGTGTCGTCGTCGGCCTGCTTCTTCAAAAACATTGATTTTTCTGGCTTCTTGATGTATCGAGCCATAGAGTTAACCAATCTGTCCCACCCTAGGTTTACACCGACTGCGTGATATGCAGGTAGCGGATGCGCGTGACTAGAGCCAGTTGGCCGATATTCTTCGATCAGCTTGTCGTACCTTCCACCTGCAGCAAGCACTTCTCGCTGCTTGGTATCGAACAGGCACTGGAACAGTATACCCCCAGCATAAAACCTCTCGTTGAAGCTACTGAGGACATTAATGTAGACCTTCCGCTTCACATTCCAGTGCTTCATGTAGTTGATTACGGAGGAAAGGTGTCGGAATATCGAATGCGTTCGTTCGAGGTATTTTGTTCCCTCGAAAAGTCGCTGCAACTTTGCAAAGGCTTTTTCGGGTGTGTCGCGCCAATCAAATCTTGCCAGGTCGTCCAGCGACGTTGATGCAATACCGATGTCGGAAGAACGCAGCTCATTGCGGATAGAGTGCCAGTTGTTCTTCAATATGTTGAGCTTGCTGAGAACTGCCTTGACTGCCGTGCGTTTTGGAGCGGGAATCCTGCAGAATTCCATGACAATTTCTAGGAGATCGGCATGGTTAAGGTGAAAACACATCTGTGTTGATCGGAATGAAGGAAACTCGTCGATGATTTCATCGACAACCTTCAGAACTTCTGATTCCTTTAGAGCAAGATCAATCGCATCATATGAGACAATGTCAAAGTCTGCCTCACCGTTACTACGCGGAGCACTTCCAGTGTAGTTTTCACGGTAAACCTGACCGATTGTAAATGTCTTCTCCAGGAAACCACCTCCCCGACCGATGCTACGAGCATACGGCAATGTGAGATCGTAAGGAAGCTGAACAAGGGTTCCAGAAGGATCGAAGAGCTTCACGACACTGCTGTTGGCATAGTGATCAGACCATGGCAATAGAACTTGGCGCTGAATCTCCACCGCACCATGGCCCCGGAAGATCATAGCTAATCTGTCTTTGACGAGGTTCTGTAGAAGCACCTCGTTCGCCTTGATTGTCTGGTTAGCTGTGCCGAGGTCCCAGGCATAATCTCTTGCTTGTGTGTCAGGCTTGTGCGAGAAGAGGGCAGCCATCATCTTCGCATAGTGAGGAGAGTTGCGATCGGAAAGAGCCTTGATGGCTTCCTTAACAGCCTCATCTTCCATCTGAGCAGGTACTTTACCACTCCTCAAGAGCTCAGTACAGCTGGGCCTTTCCGACGGCCGGTGGCTGATAAGGGATTTGATGATGCTTCCTTGGAGTGCTTTCTCAGGAGCCTCGAACTCCGGGGGAAGTTCATGTTTCCGCTCGCGTAATGATCGAATGACCTTGTCTCTCTCCATGGCAGTCCTTAGAGGAAAACACATCTCAAAGAAGATGATGCCCATCGAGTACATGTCCACCTTGTTGTTGTAGTCGCCAGTGACACTAGAGCTTAGCTCTGGAGCTACGTAAAGCGCTGTGCCCACGCTTCGTGTCATGTCACCGCCATTATGGCTGTCACCGGAGGATTTTGCGTCCGGCCTCTGGTATTGTCCGCTGGTGGCCAGTCCAAAATCACCGATTTTGGGGATTTTAGCCAAGTCAATAAATACATTGTCCGGTTTGAGATCCCTATGGATGATGCCATGTCCGTGTATGTGAGCGAGGCCTTCGAGAATCTGCCTAAACAGTCTCCAGTACTCTTCTGGGTCGTCGTATAATCCTCCACGAATGAGATCACGAAGCGTCCGCTTCTCACAGAATTCCATCTGGATGTACAGAATCGATCTTGACTTTGAAAGGTTGGAGTCGGATAGCGTGCGTCTCTTGATTCCCGGTGGACTGTGGCCGATGCTAGCGGAACCCTCGTCCTCTGTGGTAGGTTAGTACAGTACTGGAGAAAAAGTGCCAGAAATCATCTACTGACCTGAGTCTGATCCGAAGATGACAGCGCCGACATCTTCATCCGATTCTGCATCAGATCCAAACTCAATCTTGGGATACCCGCTGGAGCTAATGAAATCTAACCCGCCACCACTCTTGCCATGAATCCCGCCATCAGTCGTAGTCGTAGTCGTGGTCGGGGAAACGTCCGAACCCCAATCAGAATCATCGCCATCTGATGATCCAGAGTATTCATCATCGTAGTCCGCTTCGGCCTCGGGCCATGCTGTGTAATAACGCACTACGCAACTGTGGTTGAGCCGAGATAGAAGCATGACCTCGGAGAGAACCTCGCTTAATGCAGCAGCAGACTTTTGCTTGATCTTCTTGATGGCGTAAGTGCGGCCATCAACCTTGTTGCGTGCTTTCACAACCTCACCATATCCACCTTTCCCGAGCCGACCTTGCTCGACCCAGTCATTCGAATATCGCGAGTATGTTGGAACCATACCGGAAGAAGACTCACGCCGTAGCCTATATCGACCCAGTGAGGTTGACGAATTCCTAGATCGTACTGGAGTGCGTGGTCGTTCATAGACATCGACGTCGTCGCGAAGAAACTCGGAGGGGATAAGGTCAAAAGCAGAGTGTCGCTTCTTGGGATCCGGTTTGAAGAATTTGCGTAGTATTTCCTGCAGTGATTCTGAGCAACCAAGGATATCGGATAGGTCCTTTGGGGAGTTGTATTTCTCTGGTACATCGAGGCCAAATAGCATCTGGAGGAAGACAACCCCCATGTCCCACACATCTGTCTTGCGAGTGTGCTGCAAATCCTGGGACAACTCGGGAGCTATCCAGTAGAATGTACGTGGGGCCTTTGTCGTCCGTCTGTCCTTGGAGAAGCTTTGTAAACGATACAAAGAGTCCTGAAAGCTAGCATCGGTCAGGTGTACGCTCATTCCGCCACCTGAAGACCTCTTGAGCAGGATATTGTTAGGGTGAAGGCGTTTGTGCACTACGCCGTTTCGATGGTAAAAGTCCAGCGCTTCCAGTATCTCGATAGTCCAGGAACGAACTCTTGCGACTTGGAGCGGCCCATCATCAGCGAGTCTCTCGCCCAGAGAACCTCTGTCGGCGTGTTCCATCAGGATGCTGATTTCCCACCCAGCGTCTGGCATGTTCTCCACCTTGAAGTCCAGCACTGTCATTATAGCAGGCTGTCGCAGCCGCTTAATCTCCTCCATCTCGTCTTCAAACGCCATGATAGCCTTTTTCAGCCCAGGGTCAGCAGCAGCATTTCCACCACCGACTCGAGCACGCTTCAATACTAGCGTGAGTGCTATAGGCGTACCCATGGGCTTGACCAATAGTTGTTCGGTAAGAGGCCCAGACCGGAAAGGAAGCGGATTCTCAACTGCAGTGCACTGAATCGTAGTATCCTCGTGCTGGATGGAAGTGGTTCTATCAAACGAGATGTAGTTGACGCCGTCCCCGTTGGGAAAGTCTGGTGGTGGGGTCATGACTGAGGCGCGGTTCTTCTTGCGCTTCGCCATCACCTCCTTCCTTCGCATCTCATCACCAACCATTTGCTGCAAAAGCCGTTCCTCTTGCGCTTTCTCCTCATCCCTCTTCCTCTGGAGTTCAGCTTCATGCTGTCGCAACTGCTCGGCCGCAGCCGCTTCTTGCATGGCTCGTTCAGCATCCAGGTTTTCGTAGGCTCCATCGGTTTGGCGGACTGTAATCTCATCCTCAAGTATGTCTTGGATCCCGGTCGCTATGTCGTACATCATGACTTCTCCGACCAGCTCCTGAGGCCGGCGTTTCAGTAGGCCATAGAGCTTATCCCAAGTGGATTTTCGCAAGCTGCTGCAATCTTCCAAAGTCAATTCGGGTAGCGATCTAGGGTAAGTAGCTGTAATCTTTGCACAGAGTGTAACGAATATGTTTTCATCTGAAATGGATGTGAGTTTCACGCGCAATACGCGATCAGTAGTTTTCTGGCTTTAAGTTAGAGGATGAACTGACAAGGGGTGGAGTGGCATGGTCCTTAAATGGGGGGTTGGGTACGTACACTCCATGCACCCTTGGCTTCTGATTCTTCATAATCGTCCATAAAAACAGCCTTTAGGACTTCGCGCTCATCCTCCTGAGCCTTTTCATAGGTCTCGGAGGGCTGCAAGGTGAGCGGACGTGGCATGTCCCCAACGGGACCCGCCGACCGCGTGTCATCGGTGAACTGGGGTGTGGATGCATGGTGTGCTTGTTTCTTGTTCTTTGGTGTTTGAGGCGGTGCCATAGTGGGCTACTGGTGGATGCTTGAATGGGCCGTCATACATGTGGTATTGACGGATACGGACAGACTAGCAGCCATGGCTGCTGCCCTTCACATTGCAGACATTTCGAGTGGTTAATACGGCAGCGATAGGGGATGGGGTATGACGGAATGTAGAAAGTTTGCGGCCAGCGCATGCGCAGGTATGAAGTAGCGGTCGGTGGGGGCGATATGTTGGCGAGCCCCGCCATCCTGGGACCGTTCCGCGTCATCCCTGCAGGCACACCTTGAGCCGCCAGACGCGACTTCCCCGTGCCTCGACCACGGCAGGAGCCCCAACCAACACCATCCCAACTTGAATTTTACGAGAACGAGCTTCGAGGTGGTCGCATAGGATCTTCGAATGTTTTGATGCCTATTTCATTCATGTGCGACTCGTATTGCGTTGGGTCTCTTGACTGGTAGCCCCCCAAAGTCCTTGTTTTCAGCGAGTAAACAAGCCGCCAAACAAACCCCATCCTTGTTGCCAGCCGGGACCACCACCCTCACAACCACCACTACTGCGCCTCACCTCCTCCTTCTCCATACCCTAGCCCCGACACCGCCCTCAAACAGTCACGTCACCATGTTTTCGTGGATTACTGGTCCACGTATTACTAACGTAATAGAGGACCTGCAGCCTGGTTCGTCACATTGTCGTGCGCGCCAGCCGAAATCTGCTAACAATAAAAGAAAACAACTACGAGTCCACCTTCATTGAGCCACCAGAAACACCGGCTCATCAATTCGCCGTAAAGGCCTTCAAGCACGCCATATTCGGAACGCCTGCGCCCGAGGACGCCGACGATGTGTCTAAGAAAATAGAGAGAAAGGCAAAAATAGACGCAGCCAACGCCAAAGCCTTCGTGCTGCCAGCGCCCAAGGAGAATGGCCCGCCTATATCGCCGTCAAAACAGCCGGGCGGCATCCTTATGACACCAGGCACCGCCAGCAAGGGGCGCAAGCAAGTGTCATTTGGCTCGCAAGTGGTGGACAACGAGGGCAAGCGCGGCAACATTGGAAGGAGCGGAATACCCAACGACTGCCCAGGCAAGTTTCCGAGCCCTTGGACTCCTGGCACGCAGTTGAAGCTCGACCCCGAGAGCGAAACAAGGCCGCGCACTCGCCTCACGGAAGCCCTCCTAGACGCACGCACGACTACCCAGCCAAAATCAGGCCAAAAGCCCAAAGCACGAGACGATAGCGACATTACAATTGATCTAGGAGCTCCGCGCTCTGAGTCGGGAAAATACTGGAAGGAGCAGTATGAGAGCTATGCGGACAAGAGCGAGAAGGAGATGAAAAAGGTCATCGCCAAGCAACAACTTGCAAAGAAGTTCGCCATGAAGAAAGATGGTGAAGTAACCGAACTAGTGGCCAAACTGGAACAGGAGCGTAAGCGGTATAAGCAGCGTGAGATGGAACTGGAGCAGCAGAACAAGGACCTCCAGGAGCGCCTTCGCAAGGCCATGTCGGAAAATATGTCATCAAGCATCGAGATTGTATCCCTCAAGTCGCGATTGGCAGTCCTGGAAGGCTCGAGCACTGTACCTTCGTCAGGACTCCCACCGAGCAAGACGCCCTTTGAAATCTACGAAGATGGAGCCAAAGACGTTTCACGGCCTCCTTTGCGCGGACTGGACCTGGATACCTCGTTTGCCCCATCCAACAGCATGGCATCCTCTACTAAGGAGAACACATCGCCAATGTCTCGTCGTGTCCGCCGCGGTACTATTCCTGATACACTGAATCGACCAATCATCCCTTCTAGATTCGGTACTGCAGAAGGAGAAACCTCTGCACTGGAAAAGTCACCCCGTCGTTTTGAGGCTACCCTGGAAAAAGCGCTTGCATCGACTCACCAGGAGAAACCACTAAAGTCACCTCTGAAGATTCATCGATCTGAGCCAACGAAAGAGAGCCATACGCCTAAATCGATGGCCGGGATCCAGCCGTCCAGTCCACTACCGATGCCGTCACCACCCAGTGACGACCTTTGGCTGGATGTGCACAACGACAGCTCAATAGGGCAAATGGACAAGATGGCCATGCCTGTTTCTACAGGCCAACCGTACATGAGGCCCGAATGGAATCCCCCACCAAAGAAAAACCGGGTATCAAAATTGGTTTCAAACGACAGGAAACCAGAAACACTACAATCTCAAGAAAAGGCCGTCGTGTCAGAGAGGAGTGAGCAAAAGACGGAACCCCAAAGGCGAAAAGACCGTGCGACCCAAGAAGCTACCCATATTTCAGAGCTCGAAGCAACGTCATCACAGCCCAAAAAGGAAGCCAAACACAACTACAACACATCAAAAGATGGGGCGTTGAGGAGTACTGACAGCAGTTCTCGCCAACCCCGTACCGACCCCAAAATTGACGATAGCAAGGTCACGACACGTCATGCAGAAGGATCCACAAATGTCAAGAACGACCGAAACCAAGTCCGTGATCGGGATCCGAGGAAAAGGTTAGAGGAGAGGAGGAAACTGAGGAAGCAAGCTGCTACGAAGTGTTGATACATGCCTTTAATTGTGGAGTTGGAGTTGGCGGCGCACGTCTCACTATGCTTTGGCCTGTCTTTCTGTTGTGTTTTGGCGGCAAGCACTTTGTCAATTGGAGTCACCTTTTACACCAGGGGTATTTTATTTTGGAGACTACACGATACCTTTGCATGCTTTTCGCTTACAAAATCCATCTTTCATTCATTCATTCCATGTTCCATGCAAACATTGCGATCCACTCATTTAACATCTAACTGGGTATCATGCCCCAAACGCCTCAAAAAAATGCCAACAACAAACACCATCCTATGCATATTCCAACAGCACCATCTACTTCTTCCCCGCAGAAATATCCTCCAAGGCCTTGAAAACCGACACAGCACTCTTCTCCACCTGATCCCTCTGAAACGCCGTCATCTTCCCCAACACATACTTGCTCACAACATTCGGATCCCTACTCTCGGGCCTCCCAATCCCAACACCCACCCTCCACCACTTCACCCCACCAAGCTGCTGCTGACAGCTCTTAATCCCATTATGTCCCTTTGCGCTCGCCGCCCCATCCCTAATCGTAACTTTCCCCAGCGCAGATTCCAACTCATCATGCACAACCACCAACCGCCCCTGCAATGCGTTGTCCCCAGCCGTCCGGCGAATGTCCCGTAACCACTCGTTGTACGCGCGTTTGACGCCGTTGCCACTCACGTTCATGAGGCTGGCGGATTGCCAGAAGGTCCAGTCTTCGTATATGTCGCGGTCGCTGGGGACGCGGCGGAATCCTGTGAGGCTGAAGGCGAGGTGTGTGGCTTGCGGCCGTGATACGAGGCCTGAGAGGCCTTTTTGGAAGGGCGTGTAGTTTTTGGCCTGAGAAAGGTACGAGGTTACGATGTGGCCGGCGGAATGTAGGGTGTTGGCGAAGGAGGGGCCTGGGTTGCCGATTGAGGCGACTAGGAGGGGGTAGGCGGTTTGGGCGGCGGGTTTCGCCATTAAAGACTGTGGGAGGGTGGGGAGATGGTGTGTTTGCTTTGGTGGGTTGTGAGAGGTTTGTTGGGCGGTGGATTCGACGTCGGTGTCAGTGGGAGTGGGTAGTGCGGAGTCGTGTCTTTGTTTCTTTTCTTTGCGTTTTTCTTTGCGGCTTTGAGATGGCGGTTGTGGTGGAGGAAATAGGTAGTCAGGACCGACGCTGGTTGCGTGTGGTATTTGAGTCTGAACAATGTCGAGACTGGAAATCGCGGCAGCGAGGTCAATTGCCTGTTTTCTCTTCTTTTGTTCGTTCTTTTCCCTGCGGATTTGTTTGCGTGTCTTTTGTGTCTCGAATTCGCTGCAAGTATCGTTGTCGTTATCGCCGTCTTCCTGCGCTAGAATTTCGGTGTTTTTGGCTTCAGCTTGCAGATCAGTGGCAGGGATTAACGGCATTGCTATAGGGCTGGCCACGTGCACACGTGTGCGCGCGTCTGGCATTCCACCAAAGAGAAGTGAAAGTGGCAAGAGAGTGGTAAATACTACACTACTACGGCGAGTGAACCCTTTGTACTAAAAAGATACATTATCAAACGGTCCCTAGTTCGTCATGGCCAGCACTGTGAAGCACATTGTACACAGCCACATTTTAGAGTCATAGTGAGTTGATTGGTAAGGGCGCAAAGCTGACGGCCTTGCGGCAAACCGCCCTTTTCGCAGCTAATCTCTAATCTGACATCATTAGTGATTTACGAGCAATGCTTTCACAATTTTCATCTGTGAAGCAGTGACTTTGGACGAGAATCGGACGGAACAGATCGCGGATCTCTTGGCGCACATCATCGTTCAGGAACAAGGGCCCGGAACGGTCATCTTACGTTACTACACGATCGCGAGTCGCCACTCGCGTGTGCACGATTCCTCTTTCTGGAGTCACCGCCTGGAGGACTGCTTCCAAATAGTTGTATTTCACCATACTGGCATTCCGCCCACTTGAAGCCACAACATGTCCGGACGCCAGGCAACGCCACCGCGAGCAACTCGCTCAGCGGGTAAACTTCCACCGAACCCTCCTACTCCAGAGCAGATCAGACGTATGGAAGAGGCTAGGTTGAAGGCAAAGGCTGCTGCACAACAAGCACAATCATCATCCGCGCCCAAAACAGGCGAGAAACGCGCATACTCGTCCATTACAGCCTCACAGACTCCATCCACAGTTCGAAATGCCGCCGCCGCATCACCGCAGAAGCCTGATCAGAATGGCTTCATACAGCCTCCGTCGAACGACTACATTCAGCCCGCGAAGAAATACGCCAGGTCAGACTTTATCGAGTATGACTTTAGTAAGATGACGGATACAAAGGGTGGTTTCTTGAGCACGGCGGACGACCCACATAACAAGGCTATGTGGAAGGGGCAGCCAAAGGAAGAGCAAAAGCCCGAAGGCATGACAATAACAGAGTGGGAAAGGGAGCGTATAAGGCGGAAGTTACGCGCGAACAGGGCGGGACCCTACGAACCTGGCATCTCCATTCTGAACACCGTCAATGGCAAAGAAGAAGAAGACGAAGAAGCCGCCTTACTCGAAGCCGCCGAAAACGCCGAAATCGAAAGCGGCACCTTCAAAGGCAAATACGGCGACGGCAAACGCGACATCAAAGGCAAATGCCGCGAATGCTCCAGCCTAGAAATTGACTGGAAATGGCAAGACACCTTCTCCATCTCCGTCTGCAACGCCTGCAAAGAAAAACTTCCCGAAAAATACTCGCTCCTCACCAAAACCGAAGCCCGCGATGACTACCTCCTCACCGACCCAGAACTCAAAGACGAAGACCTCCTCCCCCACCTCGAGCGGCCCAACCCTCACAAACAATTCTTCCACCCCATGCAACTCTTTCTCCGCCTCCAAGTCGAAGCCTACGCTTTTAGCCCCGCGAAATGGGGTTCGCCTGAGGCCCTCGACGCTGAATACGCAAAACGCCAAGTCGTCAGTAAAGAACGCAAGCAAAAGAAGTTTCAGAACAAGCTAGAGGATTTAAAGAAGAGGACGAGAGTTGAGGCCTATAAGCGCGCAAGGCTGGCGGGAGATAGCGATGGAGTGCAGTTTGGACAGAAGATTAAGGGCAGGTATGATCGTCATGAGCATGAGTGGGGGAGGAGCGTACTAGATCCTGAGACGGGCATGACGAAGAAGAGGTGTGAGGAGTGTGGGATGGAGGTTGAGGAATTGGAGTTTTAGACTCAGAAGGATATGTAAATGTTGTTGTTGTCGTTGTTTGTTGTTGTTGATACCCCGGACATGCGATTGTTGATATAGATTTACATGAAATACATGGTGTTGTTGATGATGCTGGATTGACTTTGCCCCACCATGTAGTGCTGACTCCACATTTCCTTCGTATGTGCCACGTTTACAGTATACGAGATATGTGCCTTGTTTACTTTCCACGTCCTCTCTGAACCGTCGCTCTCTTAGCCCTTAAAACATACAGATATATTATTTACAATTTTGCAATTAGTCATCAACAACGGGCCGGTAACTCAGTGGTAGAGTGTAGGACTGCAGTTCTCCCAAAAACCGTCTTCCCGAAGTCACCGGTTCGACTCCGGTTCGGCCCTTGTTTTTTGTCCTTTTTTATGCTCCATCAAATAAATGACTAGTCTCCTAATCCATTACAAAACTATGCTGGGACAAAAGCTGAGGCATCTTGGTCGGGCATTTTTTTGTCACTGTGATTCTCGCTCTCGAGCAGCACCGCCCATGAAGTACCAGTCTTCTTCTACTTATCCGTTGGCATATTAAGACTTTACAAACAACACGCTAGAAACAAGACTTATGATAACATCACTCGCGCAACGAACCAAATATACGAACGGCGTATTTTATTTTTTGCAATTAAGCTTCTCTATGTACAAGACCTTTGATAGCACTTGTAACATTTGCCCCCAAAACCCCTTGTACTCCAACAAGGGAAAAGGGGGACAGAAAGCCACCACCGTATTGACATAAATTTTAGAAAAGAAAAGAAAAACCACACACAGCCACCCAGTTGAATTTGCTTTGGTCACAGCATTCCCTTTTGAACTTTTACTCCCACACACTTGCGAATAGAACAAAAAAAAACACACATAACGGCGGACCGACTTTTCCTAACCTTTTTGGAAGAGGAAGAGTTTACTGAGTAACGGCGTCAGTTTGATACTTGGTTTCGTACGCTATCTTGGCTGTGCTAGTCAGCGAGTCGAGTTCGCCGCTGGTTTCGCACATGGAGCGGAAAGAACCACCGTCTTTGCGGACGAGATCGTATGGGTGACCGTACTCGAGGACCTCGCCTCTGTCGAGAACAAGAACCTTGTCGTAGTCGATGATTGTCTGAAGGCGATGCGCGATTGTGATGGTTGTGTTTTTGATCTGGCGGATAGTCTCTTGGATCTTGGCGTCGGTGGCGTAGTCGATGGAGGCTGTGGCTTCGTCCATGAGTAAGACCTTGGGAGCTTTGAGGAGCGCTCGGGCAAGGCAAAGGAGTTGGCGTTGGCCTTGGGAGAGGTTGGAGCCAGACTCTGAGACAGGAGAGTTGAGGTTCCTGAATGGGTTCTTGTTGTCGGCTTCCATAGCAGCTTGTGCTGCTACATCCTTTTGGTCAGCAGCGTGTCCGTTAGGCATTACCACTAATGTGTCCTCTTGAGTCTCACCCCGGTCCCAGTCGCGGTTCGCCAGGATGGAACCAGGGTTGGTGGTGGCAGCACTGTAGCTTGCATTCACATCCGCAGTGACGGCGCCGGTTGTAGAGACTGGGATTTGAATAGCACCAGGGTGGGTAGGTTCTACAGGCGTCGAAGTGCCGGATGTAGGTTGCGAAAGTGACGATATAAGATTGACCTCGCGCAGGGCTGTATAGATCTCTTCATCGGTAAAAATCGAGAAAGGATCGAGATTGCTTCGAATCGTGCCGGTGAACAATGTTGGATCTGGATGGTGTCAGAAGATGCAATATTCAGAAAGACAAAAAAGCCAGCTTACCTTGTGGTACCATGACGACATTCTCGCGCAAGTCGTGAAGGCCAATCAAACCAATGTCAATATCGTCGATCAAAATCTTTCCCTGCTCAGCTTCCAACGCTCGGAACAATGCAAGCGCCATGGAACTCTTTCCAGCACCAGTCCTGCCGACAACACCAACCTTCTCTCCAGGCTGGATCTTGAAGGTCAAATTCTTCAACACAAGATCAAAATCACTCCTGTATCGTGTGCTGTAGTTGATGAATTCTACAGAACCCTTGCTTGGCCAGTTAGAAGGCGGTCGGTTGGCTGGGATGACCGAGGGAGCTTCTTGATCTACGTCGAGATATTCTTTGACACGCTCGACCGAGTTCATGTTTTGCTCGTTAGCGGAGTAAAGTCGCACAAACCACAGCACATTCTCGGTAAAAGTAACAGCGTAAGTAAGTGCCAAACCTGCTGCACCTGCATCGATATGTCCAACACTAAGGACGACAAAGGCTCCAGAAAAGAAAGCAACCATAGCGCCAACCACGTCTACTCGGAAAGCGAGCCACCTGTTAGCGGCCCACAGATAGATGAAAGGACGATGCTGAGTATTGATCTTGTTGAGGTTTTCGCGAATGAAGCGTCGCTCGTCGCCATAGGCTCGAATAGTCGTCATGCCGGATAGTGTCTCGCCAAATTGCTGATAGAGGGGGCTTCGGTGCACGGATTCTAATCGCTTCAGGTCGCGCGAGGAATTGATATAGAACCTTCCGATCATGAAGTAGAGAATGGAAATGAAGAATGCCGCAATCAAGAATCCAGGCGTAATAACCGAGATAAGAACGACAATGGTAATGATGGAAGCGAAGCAATGAACGACACCGATAGCCACTGGCGCCACTTCTTGATCGATAGACTCAATATCCTTTGAAAATCTGTTCATGAGTTGACCGAGGGGGGTCTGATCAAAGAAACGGAATTTTGCATGCGTAACCTTTTGGATCAGGCGCTCGTGCACTCGTCGTGATGCTGCGAGTGAACCGCCGAAAAGGAAGCCCTCACGCAGGAACGTGATTAGCATGAAGACAGCTCCCAGGATGGCGTAGACGCCAAGGAAATAGAGAGAGTTAACCTCTGGGTCAGAGGCCCCAAATGTGGTCTGCATGGCATTGTAAGAGTACGAAGGCTGCTCCGGTTGACTGAAGAATGGAAAGTTCCAGCTGCAAGTACCACTGTTCGTGCATGTTCCGACACCACTCAGCGTTGGAACATGAGTGACAGGTGAGCGATGGTGGTTGCCATTTACAGCGTAGCCCTTGTCTGCGTATGCGTTTGCCCAGGTGCGAATCCACAGATTTGTAGAAACGGAAGAGATCTGCGCTGCAACGAAAGCAATAGTGGCACCAACCCAGTAGTACCACGGGCCCATAGCTCGGAGATACATCATGATGATACTTAGCTTCACACCGCCCTCGGCTTTCGTCTCTTCTTGGCTGTTGCTGGCTGGCACCTTCTTAGTGTCAGCCTTACCGTTGAGAGTGGTGTTGGCACTGTCAGCCTCGCCATTTGTCTCTTGGTCACCTGAAGGAGCTTGAGATGGAGGTTTCGATGCGCCACGTGAGGCAGGTCGTGATTTAGTGAGATCTTCGGTGAGCTTTCCGGAACTGATGACTTCATCTGCAGTGCCTTGTGCGACTATGCGGCCGTTTTCAAGTACTACTGCGAACTCGGCATGGGGCAGGCAGAGACTGACGTTGTGCGTGACAAGAATACAGGTCCGGTTTGCCATGAGTCGGCCATGGAGGGCATAGTGGAAGATCCACTTGGCAGTATGAGCGTCAACGGCGCTTAGGACATCGTCAAGGAGAACATGGCGGGCTTTGCTGTACATTGCACGAGCGAGTGAGATGCGTTGTTTCTGGCCTCCAGAGAGTGTCACACCTTTTTCGCCAACAACTGTTTCATCACCACCATCAAGAATTTCAAGATCTCGCTTCAAACAGCAGATATCAATGACTTCGTCGTAGCGCTTCTGGTCCCATTCGCTTGCGAAGACAATGTTTTCTTTGACGGTGCCATTGACTAGCCAGGCTTGTTGAGCACAATAAGCTACACTCTCTGTGAGGCCAGTCTCAGGATCAGGGGTAAGATCTTCTCGGCTGACCCCTCCAGGCAAATAGACTTCACCTTTTAGTTTTGTCATCTCACCAAGCAGACCCATGAGCAGGGAAGTCTTTCCCGAACCAGTCGGACCGACGACAACATTGAGTTTGCCGGGTTGGAATTTCACATTGAGATCGATAAGCTTAAACGCATCTGCGGCAGCTTGGTCTGCCATGTCTGTACCGCCCCAGCTGAAGGTACCATTCTCGAATCCAATTAAAGGCTGGCCATTTTCATCCTTCTTTTGAGTAATGAGCTGCGAATACTTGTCTGTCTCTGGCTCCATCAGGTACTCCTCAATACGGTCGACCGATACTTTGGATTCTTGGACGTGTGCAACCATATCTGCAAGTTGATCCAGAGGAATCCTGAGGATCTGGAACAGTGAGAGAGCGGTAAAAGCAACTGACGGAATCAAGGCTTTGTGTTCAATGTTGGTATAGACCAAGAAGGACAAAAACGTGATCAAAACAGGGGAGCCCGACCATATCGTGGCAGCCACAGCCCAGAGTATGTAGCGACGGCGCAGATGCTTCAGCTCAATGTATCGTTTCTCGTTGACCAGTCCGATGAAGCGCTGCTCCCAGGCGAAGAATTTGATGATTCGAATATTGGTGAGCACCTCGTTGGTAGTGTGGATTCGTGCATCGGTAGCAGCTAGAATAAGCTTCTGGATCTTGGCAAACTGTCCAGCGACATACATGTTGACTGGAAGGAGGAAGATCATCATGCCGATACCAGCAATTGAGCTGTAGCCCAAGATGCGGTAGAGCAAAAACACAGCGACGACGACTTGAACTGGTGTATTTGCCCATAGGAAGTGCAGATAGGCACATATCTCGCTGACCTTGAAAGCGTCTACAGCCATGAGGTTGATGATGGCACCGGTAGTGACCTGAGCATCGGATCCTGACACTGCTTCGTCCTCATTCTCGTCGTCGGATGTATCGGACTTGTTCTTCTTCTTCTTCTTGCCGAAATTGAAGATGCGCTTCAATCCCTTGGGCTGCTCATCCTGCTTATCTGACTCTTGTTGCTTCTTCTCCTCACCCAGCACCTTGTCAGTGGTAGCTCCCGCTCTGCGTTTCAAAGCTTTTGCGTAAATTTCTCCAATAATGACGGCTCGCAACCGAATGCAGATCTTGCGGCCAAGCCAGAGTGCCTGTCCATCAGCCAGCGCAGATAGAGAACCGGAGACGAAAAGTAGGATAACATAGAACCATGCGGCATTCGCCGGAGTCAGATCTGGCTGCTCAACATACTCGAGGATAACTTTCAAAAGCAGTGTAGGCGCAAAAGTGAGGAAACCAGAAATGGCAGCCCATCCTGCTTGGATGAGCAGGCCGCGCTTGAAATGCTTCAAAAGGTGGTAGGCTAAGCTTGAAGTCTTCTTGACCTGGCGGTATTTTGCAATGACGGCTGCGGCCTTGTCTTTTGAAGGCAGATTCCAAACATCGGAAAGCTCATATGTCTTTTTGTATCCCGTCCAAACAATGGGGTCGACCCAGCTGAAAGTAGCAAGGGAGAATACGCTAGCGATGGGTTCCCGCGCCGGGGCAATGTCTCCTTCGTATTCAAGATGTACGGTTTTGTTGCCTTTTCTGGAGCAGAGGGCGATAAGGAAGAGCAGCGAAACAAGGGTGAAGTCGCCAATCATCAACTTCTGATGCACAGCGGATCGGGGATGGATGATTGCCGATCGGAAAAGCAAGATGCTGAAGACCCACTGGCAGCCATAGATGAAGGCGGTGTGATACCAGAGAGGTGGGAAAGAGAAGCGACTGGTGCTGGAAAAGAGTAGACGGAGCGAGGCAAGAAGAGCAACATAAGCCCAGACGGCGACACTAGCAATGGCGGCAATCTTCGCGTGGGCGCCCCAAGCATGGGTTACGAGTATGGCGACGTGCAGACCTAGCTGGGCGAGGACCGCGGCTTCCTCTAGGACGACAATGGTAAGTTGTCCGCGGGGCTTGTCGGCGGCGATGGTAGACATGGTCTTGACGGGGTGGAGGGCGAGGTCTTGGTGGCGGTCGAGCTCGTCGTGGGCATCGTCGTGATAGTCGTCGTTGCCATTATAGTTGGGGGTTCGCAGAGACCAGGGATTAGTGGCATCGTCGAGGGCGCTGTAAGCGTGGTAGTATTTGGAGGCAGTCGCAGCCGAGTAGAGCTGGCGCAGCAGGAAGAGGAGCGATATGGCGCAAACGATGAGCGGGAATAATGTCTGGAGATAGCTGTGGCGCGCGTCAGTTTTGGCGCCTTTTGTTTGCGGTGGTGATGGTGGTGGTGGCGCATAGCCAAACGGCGGTTTTAACATACTCGCGCTCGAAACAGGTGGAGAAGTCGTCTATCCCCCAGAGCGGGCCTTTACAGTGGGCAAACATGATGCCGGCTGCTGTTGTACGAGGCCTGCGGTGCGCAGCGGCGACAGTGATGGTGAAGGGCGTGTCCAATTGCGCCCAGGCCTTGCGCACTCGCTCTCAACAGTCACGCTCGCTCTCGTTATCGGCGAGCGGTGAGGCGCATCGGAGGACGGCAGCGCGACTCGACGGATATAAGCAGTAGTGGTGTCGAGGTGCTTGCGCGGCAGTAAATAAACGACGGCAGCAGAGCCTCTGGGCGCTCAGATGCACGGTTGACGCGGTGATGATTGCAGAGGAAGGCTGTTGCCTGCTCGACTTTCCCGCGCCTTTGCTACGATGACTAGTCGCCCCAAAAGCCTTTCCGCATGCGCACTGACGTTGATGAGCGCGAAGGCCGTTTGTGATGTAATCCGGCACTTTGACCGATTATGCCTTGGCGCCAGAGGAGATCCGACGCCTTCTACGGATATACGCCTGAGCCAATTGGCCACCACCACCACACCGGACGATACTGCCACAGCCACCAGATCAGACGTGCCGCCGCCATTCGACAAGTCCAGCGTCCCATCTGCCCCATGGCTGTTGTCGTTGCAGGCCCACGCGCAGCCGAGGCCACTCCCATGCGCCCTTTTGCATGTGTACGCCCTACGGCCAACTCCGGCGCCCCCCCAGGCCAGGTGTGTTTGTCACAGCATCGACCTTGTAACCATAACAGCCCTGTCCAACCACCATGATCGACTCCATCCAGTCCCTCGTCTCGCATCGCCCGCCCGTTGGCAGACGGTACCTACAGCAGCCAAGCAAACGGTAGGAGCGGCCCACACGCCACGGTGGGACTGCGTGATCCATTACCCCACAACTTAGCCCCATCTACAGCCCATGTATAAGCATCCCATATCACCTGTGACGCAGCTTGCAATCTCTGCTTTACCAAACCTACGCCTCTTCATATAGTCGTGTCCGAGTCGAGTGAGACGTGTGTCCCTGGGTATCCTGATATCTCTTTCTGTGCTGAATATTCAGTACACCACCTCACGTTATACCAAACATGTACAAAGCCGGACACCTTCACTCGTCAAACAACGCCAAAAGAGATGAGTGGAAATCGAGTAAGAAAAAAAAAGCTATGTACTTCATCTTGTTGACAGCAAGACTAAACTTCAAATAAGACGACCAACAAAGTATACGACCAATCGGGACACGATGGCACGTGACTTTGGATTGGCAGTGATGACCTTCCATATCGTAGCATTGGTCACCTCCACCACACAGCTCCTCCACAAGTACCGTGCTTACTGATCTCACATCCGCGCACCGGGCCCAACCGATGATCTCCACCCGCCAATCCAGTCCGATTGTCAAAGCTTGTCCTTTAACAAGTTTATAACCGCTGCACAGAAGACGGGACAGGTCTCCGGCTTATGGAGCCTTGCGTTCAGCCCGCAGCGAGGCCTGTGGCTTTCCTCTGCCCATTCCAGTAAACAAAATTTTCGCCAGCTATCCCCAAAAGAGTGAATTGTAAGCACAGCGCATTCGCCGTTGCGCAGTTGTTCATCTCCCTCAAATCCTATTGTAATTGCTGCGAAGCAACTCAATGCAATCAGGCAGGCCTGACTCGTAACCTTTATCAGCAATGACTGAAAGTACTGTGTAAGTAAGCTGACAGTACTGTGTAGGTAAGCTGACAGTACCGGCCCAGCAGGGACCCAAACAGCATTGGACCCCCTCCCTCCTCATAAGCCAGCAGCCCATTTGTCAAGTACGAAATGGATCAGATACTGAGTGTGATATTTGCAACAGTGTGGAAAGGTCCTTCATTGTTCAAGCAACTTGGGCGCCCCTATTACCATGGCCAACGTTCATCGTCAAACTTCGAGAATCAATTCATGCGTTTTGATTGGGATTATCGCGAAGGTCCTACTAGGCCATCCCAGTCATTTCATTAGGGCAACGCACTAAAATCTCATCAATACTGTGGCTTGTCTTTGAAAAAAGCCGCCTCACCACGCTCCAAAGTTAATCGGTCTCTTCCACGGCGCCTCCTGATAGTCTAACCCTAACGTGAACGATAATAAGGAGTATGCAGTAGGATATAACCTGCTGCGAAGGCGCCATCTATCACATCACAGCAATCGCTTGTTCCTTACCACCTACCCATTGTCACTCATTCATCTTGTTTTTTTTTTGATAATATCTACTCCATAATGCAGCCCTCACCTGTGCTTGCAGCGGCACTTGTTGCCTTTTTTGGCCTTTCACCTGCTTTGGCCCTCCCACCCAACACTGATGCTCGCAACGTCATCAAACGCGATGTAGCAATTATCGGTGGAGGCTCTGCTGGCATCAACGCTGCCATCCAACTCAAGGACGCTGGCAAATCGATCATTGTTATCGAGGCCCAGGAAGCACCAGGTGGTCACACGCACACTTATATCGACCCAGCTACTGGCATGAAGACAGACTATGGTGTCGCCATCTGGCACAATACCACAACCGTCAACCAGTACTTCCAGCGCTTCAATATTCCACTGGCCCCCGCATCGATTGCAGCCGTTCCAACTGTCACCGTTGACTACACGACGGGCAGTATCATCAACGTTCCTGCTAATCAGGTGCCTACTCAACAAGCTATTGGTGCAGCACTGCAGAAGTATGCGGCCTTCCTGTCCAAGTATCCCCAGCTCGCTGCTGGCATGTTTCTACCCAGACCTGTGCCCCAGGAATTGGCCATGCCCTTTGGTCAACTAGTCAAACAACTCGGCATCGACGCAGCTGTCCCAATCATGATCCAAATCAACCCTGGCCTTGGCGATCCCCTCACTGTTCCCGTTGTCGAGATGGCCCGCGTCGTTGGCTTGTCTTTGGTCCAGCAAATCGCTGCCTCGAGCTTCGTCACAACCGCACGCCACTACAACAGCGAGCTCTACGAAAAAGCCGGTGCCGAGCTCGCTAGCAGCAACAGCATCCTGCTCTCTTCCCGTGTCGTCGCCTCGAACCGCAAGCAATCCGGTGTCGAACTTGTCGTGAAGACCCCCCAGGGCATCAAGTATATTTGCGCCAAGAAGCTCCTCATCGCCATCCCCCCTCGCCTGGAAAACCTCAAGGAATTCAACCCTACCCAAGCCGAGCGTAGTGTCTTCAGCAAGTGGCTCAGCACAGCTTACTTCACCAGCATCCTCTCCAACACAGGCCTGCCCCCTACCAAGCAGGTCATGAACGTCAACCCCTTGAGACCCGCCGGCCAGCCCGATCTACCCAGCACAATCTTCATCGCCCCCAACACCATCCCAGGCCTCTCTACCGCCTACTACCAAACCGAACGCCTGAGCACCCCAACCGCGCTCACCGACGACGACGTCAAGGCCCGCATCATTGCAGACATCAAGCGCATCCAGGCTGCCAACCGTGGCAACAGTTCCTTTGCTCAGACGGAGCCACAGTTCCGCGTAATCAAGGCCCACAAGCCTTTCTACCTACAAGTCTCCACCGAAGATATCCTGGCCGGCTTCTACGATCAGATGAATGCGCTGCAGAACCAGTTGTCCACATTTTACACAGGTGCCGCCTGGAGGGCCCATGATAGCAGTATGATCTGGGACTACAACAAGCAGATTGTTGTGCCTATGTTGCTCAAGAGTCTGCAGAACTAAGTGAAATCAAGGTGTGTGTCCCACCTTTTTTTTCCTTTCCAGGGAGATAGCATTGTATATTTTTCTCTTCTGAAGATGGACCAAAAAAATGGCCACTGCTATAATGTATAAAAAATGTGATATTAGTTTATTTTCTACCCTCTGGAATAGTCAATCGATATCACTTTATCGCTCGAGACTCTCTGCATTCAATAGCCCTTTTTATGACTGGATTCTGCCTTTTTTGTGTGTGTGTATAGCTGTTCGTTATATGGCGTAGCAGATGAATCAGTTCAGAAAAGAATGACAGGCCCACAAAAAAAAGAAATTGCATCACCAGTTTACAATGTCAACATCTGAATTATGGAAGAGTTGAAATAAGAATCTCGTGTTCGGAAATTTCATAGTGTTGGCCGTGGACTGATCACCGTTCTTCCTTCGGCGTAATATAACAAATAAGCAAGCCACATTTTGAGCTTATGTGAGACGAGAATCTCGCCAAAGAAGAAAAGCAGCCACATGATTTCTACTGTGTAAGACTAATACTGCGCATGTGCTTAGTGGAACGAAGAACTGGGGGTTTTGATGACTTTGCATAAACGAGACAAATGGTGATTTCCCTATCTATGCACGAGGCTTGGCTACGGGGGTCCATGGGGAATACTTGTTCTTGACGCTATTTGCGTAGTCAGCAAAACAAGGAAATCCCTCGCAAAAGATTGCAAAAATGGAAGTGGGGATCTACAACGTACGTGCTGTAAGGCTTGTATCCGGATCGGCTCCAAGTAAGGGTAGGCCTGTGCTCCTTTGGCTCCCAGACGCGGATCTGACGCTGCAGAAGAGGATCCGCAGCTGGGGACTTGTCGACCATGTATGACATCCAAGCGTGCCTGTTACAAACCCAAAGTCAGAAGACGCTCCTTTGCAATGATTAGTACAGGGAGAGAACGTACCATCCGGGCTCTATCTGAGAACTGTGTAATTGCGCGTCAACATGATTACCGCGTTATGTCCAGGCGAAAACTCACGGATCAAACTCCTTGTCCTTGTAGTCTACCCAGCGTGTTCGCACTGTTCCATGCAATTAGCCACCATTGTTCCTCTTCCTGCAGTCTCCCCCAGTTGAGATAATGGTAGTTCTTACGCGGCAGCTCCTCCTCCAGATTCTCAAAGTACTTGTTGCCGTACCTATCTGTGCCAATCAAGGTTCCGGCTTTGGTATCACCTGCAATGCATCAGTCCCCCCGCGTTCTCCTGTATCCAATCGCACAGATAGCCGTGCGCAGAGAAGGCGTACCAATGTTCTATTAAGAGCGAGAAACGAATCCATCAGTTTATATTTCGGGGAGAAGGCAATTGGAGGAGGGGGATTTCATGAGCGTACCGCCATTTGGTGGGCATAGTCCTAAGTCATAGTTAGTGATGATGCTACTGCGACAATGAAGCTAGGATAGAGAGCTTGCCTTGATTCCGATCCGGCGCAGGTTGCGCAGCGTTCTCATGAGCGTCGACATGGCGGCTGTGGTGCGAGCTGGGTGATGGTCACTGGTGGCCCGCTCGTCGGACGTCGCTGAGGCGCGATTGATGGTGCCAAGACCGGCGCTCACGCTATACCTTTTTCTGAACTAGCTCGACAATGTCCTTCGTTTCCTAAAGTGCATCCGATGTTGATACGTCAGGACTTTCAACATAGATCAATTTCTCGACAGTGTGCAGCGAAGTTTCCGGGACGATGATAAGTCGAGGCTTGTTAAGAATTCAGGCGCCCCGGATTGCGGGCAAAAGAGCTTTTTGTCTTCCTGGGAGACTGGCCAAGACAACGAGGAGGTATTCGACTTCGACTGCGGGGATGACGTCGCAGGTGCCGCAGAGCCAGGCGGCGATGCTGGCAACGATCACTTCGGATTTGGATAAGATTGCTCCGAGGTTTGAAATGCAGCCCGAGCAGATTCAGATTATTCAGACGCCTGCTGAGTTTTATCAAACGCTGAAGGTAGGTTGATATTTCTTTCTCTTCTCTTCGTCTTTGCCTATCGAGTATGTAATATACGTTTGGTTGTTTTGTAACTGTTTGTTTCGTTCTCTTGTTTTGTGAATCCTCTACAAGATCAGAAGATTTGCATTCTTGGTCGTCATGGCTCCTAAGGATATACCTCCTATTTCTTTATGTGAGGGAAATACTCCCAGAAACGAGCTACGTGGTAGCGTCTCACTTCTTCGTAACGCAGTAGCTTTATAAGATATGCCGTAGGAAATACGTGAGACAGCACAAATCAGCACTCACCATTCCAATCCCACTAACCCGCCCCAGGACAAAATCTCAAAAGCCCAACACAGAATCTACCTCAGCACCCTCTACATTGGAAAAACAGAACACGACCTCATCAGCACCATCCGCGCAGCCCTCACTAGAAACCCCAATCTCCACGTCTCATTCCTAACAGACGCCTTACGCGGGACACGAGAAACCCCAAACCCATCCACAGCTTCGCTCCTCGCCCCTCTAATCAGCGAATTCGGCGCAGAGCGAGTCCAAATACGCATGTACCACACACCCAATCTAACGGGTCTCCGTAAAAAATACATACCCAAACGCATCAACGAAGGCTGGGGCCTCCAACACATGAAACTCTACGGTATCGACGACGAAATCATCATGAGCGGCGCCAATCTCAGCGAAGACTACTTCACTAACCGTCAGGACCGCTACCATCTTTTCCGCTCTGCAGAATTGACATCGTACTTTGCCAAGATCCACGACGGCGTGTCTGCACTGAGTTTCGACATCCAGCCGTCTGACGCTCCGGGCGCAGGCGGATACACAATGGCATGGCCTAGTAGCAACGCAGGTCCGAATCCCCTCGAAAACCCTTCTTCGTACAGAAAAGCAGCGGAAAAACACCTATCGCACCTGCTCACCCCTTCCAATTCTCCCCCCTCCGCATCTAATCAGACATCAAGTTCGAACTCAACAACAACAACAACAATCCACCCCATCCTCTCCCTCGTCCCCCTCCTCCCCTCCTCCACCGAACTCCCCGCCCTAACCTCCCTCCTCACCACCCTCTCCCACACCCCCAGCATCTGGACCTTTACAGCTGGCTACTTCAACATGACACCTTCCTTCCGCCGTCTCCTCCTCGCCACCCGCCCCTCACGCGGCACAGTGCTAACCGCACACCCCCACGCAAACGGCTTCTACGGCTCCAGCGGCGTAAGCGGCATGTTACCAGCTGCGTATACGCATCTGGCAAAAATGTTCCTGAGACAAGTAAGGTATCAAGGCTTAAGCGAAAGTATTGTCCTGAAAGAGTGGAGAAAAGGGAAAGTGGGGGAGGAGGGGGGGTGGACGTATCACGCCAAGGGTATTTGGGTTGCGCTACCTTCTTCTTCTGCGTCGTCAGCGGCAGCAGCTGGTGAGAATACCGACACCAACGACCCGTGTCTAACAGTCATCGGCTCCTCAAACTACACCAAGCGCGCCTACGAACTCGATCTCGAAGCCAACGTTGTTCTTTGTACGACTGATCCTGGCTTGAGGCGGCGGTTGGGCGAGGAAGTCAGGTGGTTGGGCGAGCATGCGACGAGGGTTGATGAGAGGGAGTTTGAGAAAGAGGACAGGAAGGTGGGGATGAATGTGAAGTTGGCGATGTGGGCGGTGCGGGTGCTTGGTGGGGCGTTGTAGGACGTGGTTGAAGGAGAGAGAGAAAAAAAAAGATTATGCCGAAGCTGTAGATTGATACTTCTTCTTCTTCTTCTTCTTCTTCTTCTTCTGCAAGAGAAGCAGTGCAGGAATATGTATTATTAGTCAACCCCACAATCATCACATAAATTCGAAGATATGGAAAAGTAGATTCCAGACAACGGGACTCTCTTCCCTACCATTATTCAGTATTATCCGTGAGCCATGTAGCGGGTATCTAGATATGGGGCATGAAAACGTGGAGTAAAAAAAAGGGGGGGGGGGAGCCAAGGTGAAAGTTTACAATTCCCCGCGCTCCTAATAGCTTAGTGTCTATCAGCCATTATGAAAACCTGGAAATCCCCGCCCCACTGTATAGCATCGAGTCTATCGAACATCCTTATACTCGCATTCAAATGATTCATATGTCGCGAGAGTAAAATGGCTGTACCTCACTAAGAAAGGGTCGAGCAATTACGGGTGGCCTTCCACACTACCAGGCCTCGATCGCCGACAACACGGTTGATGGTGTTCCAAACGCCGTCATCGGCAAAATCCATGTCGTCGAGGTTGAGGTGCTGTCGGTAGCTCCACACTTCTTCTAGCCGAACGTCATTCTGCTTAGTTGCGTCTTGATATGGCTTCAAGAAATAGGCAGACCGTGGTGCTACAAGATAGGTAGCACCTTGATCCTCAACTCGCGGGAGTTTTCGAGTTCGACAAGGCGGTAGCGCTTCCTTTACTCTTTCGAGCATCTGCTCACCCGGGCAGCCCATCAAATCCACAGTCTTGAGTTTTTCGTTCTTGCCGTTTAATAGCCAGGTGGGCGGACTGTAGGTTTTCCACCAAAACGCATGACTGATGGCTTCGTTGGTCTTGGCAATGTTGATCTGTACAGGCACGATGCCGCCTTGGTGATACACACCCATCAATAATCCCAAAGCCACGTTGAAGATGATCCATGTCGCTATCCAAGGCTTTTTAAAGGGCGGGTTCGGTATGCGTATAGAGGATAGAACCAGGGGTACTGCGGGCAACAAGAAGCGCGCCTCTTGGTGTGGGAAGATGCTGAGTAGAGCAACACCAGACAGAGCCGATATCAGATTCATGGTGATGTGTGCTTTGCGCAGGGAGAATAGGAGCGGAATGGCAGGCCCAAGTAGTTGAGGAAGGTTGACAAGCAAGTGCTGATACCGTGGATGTATGCCATGCTGGGCGAGGTTCTCGGACTGGGAGTTGTAGAGAAAGTTGTTGAAGGGCGTAATGACGGGAGTAGTGAAGACTTTTGAAAAGGTAAATTCGCTTGGGGTATAAAAGGCCGTGTCAATACAGACGGCAAGGAAGACTGTCGCAAGAGCAAATGCAGCCAAGAAGACTAGCGAAAATGGCCTGAGGATGTCAGTATGGCCCGAGTGGCGCGAACGAGGGGTAGACGGACTTTCGCTGGAAGTGCGGTAGCAGTGTGGTGGCAGGCAGAACCAGGAATGCTGGAAAGGTAATACGATTGAAGATGCCGACAACAGCCATGAAGCCCAAGATGGACGAGGCTAGTATGCCGGAGCGTTTCTGCAAGTGTGGTTAGCCGCATATGCTAGGTGAGCGAGTGGCTGACGTAGCCATACCTTGTCACCAGTGATCCTCTGGATCAAAACCAAACTCCAGAGCACCAATAACGTTTCGAGGCTGTTTGAAAACGTATGCGTCTGGAAAGTCCATGTCACGTACGAGGATGCGACCAGGACCACGGCCATGCGTCTGGCGCGGGGCGACGCGACCAACTCGTGGATTGCCCAGTCCTCCATGACGACGCTCAGCGACAGCATGAGGACGCGCAGTGTCCAGTAGACAACGGACGGCGAAACGTCATATCCAGAGCCCTCCCATAGCCAGCGCAGGATGTACATGGGCCAGCCGTATGCAAGCCATAATGGGAAGGTGCTGCGGATGGGGTGGTCCGAGGTGAATTCCCATGTTTCGTGGACGGGGTAGGAGAAGACGCGTCCTGGTAATTGTCAGTGTGAGGGGCGACAAGTTTGGGTAAGTAGGGCAGGCAAGGCATACCAGCAACAACCTCTGGGCCCTGGAAGTTCTCGTCAGGGTGCAGGTAACTGGGCGACAGGGCAAAGTAGATGCGGACTAGAATGAGGAGAAAGTAGACTCTCCGCCACATGATGGCAGCAGGTTGGGGAAGCCGGAATGTGTAGTGGCCACGTCGCACAAGGGCATGTCTTTTGTGGTGGAGTGATTGTTTGCGCAAAAGTGAGGCCAACGCATGTTTTAGTGCAGGCCTATGTCAACCAAGAAGTTGGACGCGGATAAGGGGGAGCCGACTGTCATAATTGGTGCAGGGCGTGAATGTTGCCAGAGCTGGGTCTTGGAGTGCAAAGACGGTCCGAGTCCATGGCAGACTGGAGAGCAGAGTCGAGAGATGAGACTGCTGTCAGGCGGCTTGATCAGATGGGCCAGTGGCAGTCAGGCAGTCAGGCAGCCAGGCAGCCAGGCAGCCAGCACCCATCCTCGAGGGCAGCCTGCAGTGGGGGGGAACTGGATGCGGCCAGCGCCGTCACGTGGCAGAACATCAATCGTGTACCTGCTCCTGTGATGACCGGGATCCAGGTGTGTGTATCTGAATGAACACCTGTTTGTAGTATCATGTGTGGATGTGTGGATGTGTGTATGCAGAGAGACAGTTGGCTTCTTTGTAAACGACTTAAAAAGTACCACGGACGACGCGTTCGTCATGGCGGGACGTCATTCAACGGTAGACATGTTCAACTCATACATACGCATCTACGTACATGTGCGCAATACATACGTACCTACATAGTACAGGCCACGGTTAGCCAGGCATTCTTTCTTTCGGTTGCGCCATTCGACTCCAAAAAAACTCGGCCTTCTGGCTACTTCTACCGGCCCCAGTGCGGCCCATGTATCTGTTCTTATTGTCGCGTGGAGAGAGGGAGAGAGGGGAGACCCCTCATCCACAGGGCTCCGCTGGCTCCAGCGCCGCAGCACCGTGCAGCCTGCGAGCATCCGCAAACAAGGCGCAAACCGAAGCCGTTTCGAGCAGCCATGCACGCAGACAAAGGCCCAAGTCCGCGTCAAAGGCGCATCCCATGTGGATAGTATCAGAGTAGTCGGCAATGCGCCCTCCCTTCACGCGCCATGTCAGTGTAGCAGGGGCAAAAGGTGTCTTTGGCGACTGCAGCCTTGCGCTTGGGCCTGATTGGGACGGCTTGGCCTAAGCTCGCCTCTGGCTGGCGGCGGCGGCGGACGAGCAACCATAGTTGCCTTTCTCTTACTTACCTCTCTGTGCGCAAACCTACAAACACTCCGTCTCTATATAACCCCCCGTCGTCGCCTCCTTTGCCTCTCCCACCACCAACCCACTTGCTCCGACCAGTAGCCCATTGACTGCTGCCTCTGCGCATTCCACCTCCATCCACCCCAGCCACAGCTTACCCCACTTACACGTCGACTCTACACCACCACCCCAACGCCTGCTACAATGGCTTCCACTAATGCCGAGGGTGTCAAGCTCATCAGCATCACCACCTCTGATGGCGTCAACATGCAGGTCGAGCGCCCCGTTGCCGAGCGCTCCATCCTGATCAAGAACTTGCTCGAGGATCTCGGTGGTGAATCCGACGAGTCCATCCCCATTCCCAACGTATGTCACACTACCCACCTGCCCAAGCAACCACGACTGACCGCTCCCAGGTAAACGAAGCCGTGATGAAGAAGGTGCTCGAGTGGTGCACCCACCACAAGAACGACCCACCCGCCACCCAGGACGACGACTCGGACTCGCGCAAGAAGTCGACCGACATTGACGAGTGGGACCAGAAGTTCATGCAGGTCGACCAAGAAATGCTCTTTGAGATCATCCTCGCCGCCAACTACCTCGACATCAAGGCCCTCCTCGATGTTGGCTGCAAGACGGTTGCCAACATGATCAAGGGAAAGTCGCCCGATGAGATCCGTAAGACGTTCAACATCCAGAACGACTTCACTCCCGAGGAGGAGGAGCAAATCCGCCGCGAGAACGAGTGGGCCGAGGACCGCTAAGGAGAAAAAAAAATGCTCAAGTCTCTTGACTGAATCTTTCTTACCTCTTGTATGTATGCCTTCCTATCGGCAGTCACGGCGGGTAGGTTTGAGCCATGCGCTGCTACGAGTGGGTTTGTCTCTGGCGCAGCGGAGTTTGACGGTTATGAATCATTTCTATTTTCCATGGGTGTGACAAGGTGACGCCCTCTTGGTAAAGCATCACTAGTGGCCACTAGTCGGTTATAAACAGGGAGGGTGTGGGCTCACTGTCTGCTGCATGGACACATCTGCATCGTTTGCAGTTTTGATTACAGGTAGCTCAATGTAAACAACAAAAGTCCACCGTGTTTGTAGTATGCTTGTCTTTGTTCATGTTTGTGGCTGTGCTTTGTCCAATTTGCTCGCTTTGCCTCGGCCCTGGAGAATGACGTGATTTGTCGTTTGACATGGTTGGACATGGTGAGAATCATCCAAACAATCAATGTGTCATCCGACGAAAATTCAACATGACTCAGAACACAAGAGCAAAATGTAAAGTCAGAACGCAAGGCAAGAAAAAGCAATATGTTGCATCTCGGTCAAGAGTATTACACTCGACCCATTTTTTCCCATCATTCTATACTCCCCTCCCATTTTTATTTTTAGTAGTAGACAGAAGAAGAAGAAGAAAAAAACGCCATATCAATCCCTTCATATACATAAATTTCCTTTTCCCCCATCTCCCTCCCTCTCTCTCTCTCTCTCTCACACACACACACACGGGGACTTTACCACCCCCTCTTCGCCAACTTCTCCTCCTCAGCCATAGAACTGCAATTAATCCCCACCATGGCCTCACCGAGATCCATACTAACCTCCATGAGGACCTTGGGGTCGTTATAATGCGTGACAGCCTGCACAATAGCCTTGGCGCGCTTCGCCGCGTCGCCCGATTTGAAGATGCCGGAGCCGACGAAGACGCCGTCGCAGCCGAGTTGCATCATGAGGGCCGCATCGGCGGGGGTAGCTACGCCGCCAGCTGCAAAGTTGACGACGGGCAGACGACCCAGCTTTGCTGTTTCCTTGAGGAGAGCGTAGTCGACCTGGAGGTCCTTGGCGTAGACGCGGAGTTCCTCCTCTGACATGTTTTTTGCGCGGGCGATTTCGGCGTTGACGGTACGCATATGGCGGACGGCTTCGATGACGTCGCCGGTGCCGGCTTCGCCTTTTGTGCGGATCATGGCGGCGCCTTCGGAGATGCGGCGCAGAGCTTCGCCTAGGTTGCGGCAGCCGCAGACAAAGGGGATGCGGAAGGGGTGCTTGGAGACGTGGTGCAGGGCGTCGGCTGGGGTGAGGACTTCGGATTCGTCAATGTAGTCTACGCCGAGGGCTTCGAGGATCTAGTTGGGACACGAAGGGTTAGCAATTGGCCCTGTCTGGGGAGTGACATAGAGGGAGAAGAAGGAGTGATTTACCTGGCATTCGACGAAGTGACCAATTCGGGCTTTGGCCATGACGGGGATGGTGACCGTGTCCATAATCTCCTTGATCATCTTGGGGTCGCTCATACGTGCTACGCCGCCTTGAGCACGAATATCAGCAGGAACACGCTCGAGGGCCATGACGGCTGAGGCTCCGGCTTCTTCTGCTATCCGTGCCTATTCACACAGTGATGTGGTTAGCCAGACTCTTCATACTAAACCGTAAGATGTGACAAGGAATTGACATACCTGCTCAGCATTGACAACATCCATGATGACTCCGCCCTTCAGCATGCGTGCCAATCCAGCCTTGACGGCAAAGTTGTTCTCGCCATCTTGGGCGCGGTTGCCATTGGTGGTGGGGAGTTCAGTTGCCATTGTGTCGTTTGAAGATATAGAGAAAAAAATGTAACGAGACGAGGAATTGAATCTGACAGTGGGGTGATTCAAGAGGAAAAAAAAGAGAGTAAGAGAGATATATAAAGTAAGAGAGAAAGAAAGAGCTAATTAGTAGTCTAGTAATACCGCCGAAGGCCAAAATAGGCAATTGGAATCGTTTGGGAAAGTCCCAGGTAAGATCGTGAGTCAACGTCGAAGCAAATGTATTACCTGTACATGTATCCGCGGCATCGCAATATTTTTTTTGCCTTTCCAAGGTCCCTCTATCCCGCCATCCTTAGCATAGCTCGGAGCTTGCCCCGCCATCACCCGCGGCCTTCTAGACCCCACCATGCGCCCTTTGACACACGCCCTGCTCTGCCCGCCCAATCACGCTCTCGGCCTTGCTGACTGCCATGGCCGTGAATTGCCGTCGTCGCCTTGGGCCACCGGAGTTCGTCTCTCCCCATGAGTTCATGGTGCGGTACCGGACTGGAGACATTGCATACATTACTGCGGAGATTACACTCGCTTGCAGAATCGGCTTCCGGTATCTACACTTCGCGCCCTTTCTCACAGCAGGGGAGTCAGCCTCGCTTAGCGGGAGCTTTACCTCATACACTTTAGATCAACTTAAGCCGCCTAGCTCCTGCTAGTATCTGTAATACAATACGCCTCTATCGCTAGAAGCTCACAACCCTATGGCCAGAGCGGGTCGGCCGCCCTCTCTGCTCGCGTTATCAATGCATTCCTCCATTTCTCAAGATATATTCAGTCTAACTTAGTCACTTGCAAATTCGCCTTCTACTGAAGCATGACCGCGTCACAATGTGGGCTGTGCATTCAGCCGCACCCCCGCCTCGAGGATAGAGCAAAGCACAACAGAATCAGCTCATAGTACTCTTACATTGTCTCCCTTTCAGATGCGATTCTTCAGTATAGTTCAGCCCCCTATATTCCTATATGCTCGCTGACCTCAATAGCTAGGACTGGTATTCTCAACAGGCGAACGAGCTGCCGTGCTCGTCTCTTCAACTAGGCTGTCGCCGTTGAGCCTTCGATATTCCATTCCTACCGCATGCGCCCGTTCAAATTCCTTGCGAAGCAATGCGTCTTCTGCGACTTAATTACACTGGGGAGCTTAGCCTTACAAAGGACTTAAAAGGCGATGATATAATCCCTCCATATGCGATCCTCTCGCATACTTGGCAGGAGGGCGAGGAGGTGACTTACGATGAATTGATCAAGGGCAACAGCAAGAACAAAGTAGGCTACAGTAAGATAAGGTTCTGTGCACAGCAGGCGAAGCGCGATGATCTTGAGTATTTCTGGGTGGACACCTGCTGCATCAACAAAGCAGATCAAGTCGAACTCCGAGAGGCTATATCCTCCATGTTCCGCTGGTACCAGAACGCGGCCAAATGCTATGTCTTCCTGTCGGATGTCCCGTACAGTAAGCGAAAAGCAGACACTGGGCTTGATGAGTACCTCTGGGCCGCAGCCTTTCGCGCGAGCCGATGGTTCACTCGGGGTTGGACCCTCCAAGAGCTACTAGCGCCAGAATCTGTGGAGTTCTTCTCGAAAGAATGGAGGAGACTAGGCGACAAGACTTCGCTGCAGACACACATCTGGGAAGCGACGAGAATACCAAATGCGGCGCTCCGAGGCGTTCCTTTGTTACAGTTCAGCATCGATGAGCGAATGAAGTGGAGCGAACACCGGGAGACCAAAGTTCCCGAAGACCGAGCGTACTGTTTGATAGGCATTTTCGGAGTCCAGATGACCCCATTTTACGGCGAAGGCGTCAATGGAGCATTCACACGGCTTATGAATGAAGCCAATATCCTGAACAGGTGTCTTCAAGAGTTGCACCTTAGCGACCCTCACGATGACAAGAAGCGCATTGAGGATACAAAGGGTGGCTTGCTGCAGGGCTCGTACTGCTGGGTCCTCGACAACGCCAGCTTCCAGCAATGGCGCGATGGTGCGCAGAGCCGACTGCTGTGGATTAAAGGCGATGCTGGCAAAGGAAAGACGATGCTACTCTGCGGTATCGTCGGCGAGCTAAAGAAATCGACGGCCAGCTTTCTCTCTTTCTTCTTCTGCCAAAGTACTGACTCCCGCCTCAACAGCACCACTGCCGTGCTGCGCGGCTTGATCTACCTGCTCGTCAGGCAGCAGCCATCGCTGGTGTCGCACCTGCGGAAGAGGTACGATCAAGCAGGTGGTGCTCTTTTCCAAGACGCTAACGCCTGGGTGGCCTTGTCCGACATCTTTACAAGCATGGTGCAGGACGCGGACCTCAAGACAAGCTACCTAGTTGTGGACGCTCTTGATGAGTGCGTAGTGGACCTTTCCAAGCTTCTAGACCTGATCGTCCGCACCATCGCGTCCTCGACCCGCGTAAAGTGGCTTGTGTCGAGTCGAAACGAGGCCCACATCGAGCATAAGCTCAAGTCGGTCGGCGGTAAAAAAAAGCTGAGTCTGGAGGTGAAGCATAACGCAGAGCAGGTGGCTCGAGCCGTAGACATGTATATCGACCACAAGCTGTCTCGTCTCGAGTCGCTCAGAGAGGATAGTCGGCGAGAGCAGGTGCGAGATGAGCTGCGACACAAGGCAAACGGCACCTTTCTGTGGGTCGCTTTCGTAGTCCAAGAGCTCGAGGGGCCTGAGAGCTGGGACCCTTTGGAGGTGGTGAAAGAAGCGCCAGCAGGTCTGGATCAGCTGTACGACAACATGATGGACCGGATTCAGCAGTTGAAGAGGAGCGCCAAGATCTGCCAGCTTCTGCTCTCCACCGCAGCGGTCGCATACCGTCCACTCTACCTTGCTGAGATGGGCAGCTTGCGCGGACTGGCAGGTCAGGGTACGGTGCTGGCAGAGACTGTGAGAAAGATTGTAGCCATGTGCGGTTCGTTCCTCACGGTTCACGACGGGCGGGTCTACCTGGTTCATCAATCAGCCAAGGACTATCTGAGCGGCAAGATGCGAGCCGCGGCCCTTCCATCTCAGAGCGAGATACACCATGACCTGTTCTCTCGGTCGCTCAAGCTCATGTCCAACACGCTGAAACGCGATATGTATAATTTGGTAGAGCTAGGCTTCCCGATCGACGAGGTTGAAATACCTGATCCTGATCCGCTAGCGACTGCGCGCTACTCGTGCGTCCACTGGGTCGACCACCTATGCAACTCGAATCCCGTATCTTCAGCGAGCCATGCAGAAGAACTGCGAGACCGAGGCGTTGTCCATGTGTTCATGAGAGAGAAGTTCTTGTACTGGCTAGAAGCCCTTAGCCTTTGCAAGAGTATGCCAAAAGCTGTAGTCTCGATGGCAAAACTACGGTCGCTCGTTCAGGTATATTTAGAACAAGCAGCCTAAGTAGTTAGATTGTTTCCATGCTGACAAAAGCTAGGGAAGAGAAAAGACAGCTATGTTCACTGAGCTTGTTCATGATGCACATCGATTTGTCATGTATCACAAAGGGGTAATTGAGAGCAGCCCTCTCCAGGCATATACATCTGCGCTGTTATTCAGCCCAACAGGGAGCTTGGTGAGAATGCTGTTTCAGCACGAAGAGCCGGAATGTATGACTATCAAGCCGGCTATGGACGACGGTTGGAGCGCGTGCCTGCAGACGCTCGAGGGTCATTCGGATGTCGTTACTGATGTGGCCTTCTCGCCTGATGGCAAACTACTAGCATCAGCATCGATGGATAGGACGGTTAAACTATGGGATGTCGGCAGGGGACTGACGATGCACAGGTGCGAAAGCCATTCAAGCCCTGTTATTGCATTCATCTTCATAAAGGATGGCACGATGCTGGTGTCCGCGTCTGACGACCTTACGATTAAGCTATGGGACATCAGAACAGGGGAACGGCCCCTTACAGTCAATTGCTGTTCTGATCCCGTCATCCGCGCCGCTTTCTCGCCGAACGGGAAACTGCTAGCATCCATATCGGACGACGGAAGGCTCAAATTGTGGGATACCAGCACAGGAATAAGTGTTCAGACGATCGAAGATATATACGACACTAGCCCTGTAACCTTTGCGCTTGATGGAATGCTAGTAGCGTTGTTGTGGGACAAATCAGTTGGGGTATGGGACACCAGCACAGGGGTAATGATTATGACGCTCAAGAACCATTCAGATGTCACTGCGATCACATCCTCGCCGAACGGTATGCTGCTAGCATTAGCACTGGGCGACGGGACTATCAGGACAATTAACATCAGCACGGAAGCTACGATCCAGGTGCTGGAAGGAAGTTCCGAGTACGCCCAAGAGATTGCTTTCTCCCCAGACAGCAAGCTGCTTGTGTCTGCATCCTACAATGGAACAGTTGAGTTGTGGGATACCAAGACTGGATTGCGTGTCCAGACACTCCAAAGCTATTCGGATGATGTCAGTGCCGTCGCGTTCTCGCCGGAAAGCAAGCTACTAGCTTCGGCGTCGTACGACGGTAAGATCAGACTATGGACCGTTAGGATGAGAGCCTCGGTTCAGACGTCTGAAGATTATTCAGGTTATACCAGCCCCGTCACATTCTCGCCGGACGGCACGCTACTAGCGTCAGCATTAGGCTATGGGATGGTCAAACTGTGGAACATTTGCACGGGCGCAGAGATGATGCTCGAGGGCCATTCGAACCGTGTCGACGCGTTGGCCTTCTCGCCGAACGGCAAGCTGCTGGCGTCGGCATCGAGAGACAAAACAGTCAGAGTATGGGACGTTGGCAAGGGATCTCAGACACTGCAAAGCTCTTCGGGCTCCATCACTGTCGTAGCCTTCTCGCCGGACAGCAAGCTGCTGGCATATGCATCGGATGAAAGGATAGTCAAGCTGTGGGACACCGGCACGGGCACGGAATTGAAGAGGTTTGAGGGACATTCGGGCTGGGTCGACTCGTTGGCCTTCTCACCAAACGGAGATCTGCTGGCGTCGGCATCGAAGGACAATACAGTCAGAATATGGGACGTTAAGACGGGCACGGAGATGAAGACATTCGAAGGCGATTCGATCAGGCCTCCATTTGGCTGGCACACCGCCGTGGCATTCTCGCCGGACGCCAAACTTGTGGCGTCGGCAGCGGACGGCAGGACAGTCAAATTATGGAAAGTCGGCACGAGGGCGGAGACGGAGGCGTTCGAGGGCAATTCAAGCCATGTCAGCGCTCTGGCCTTCTCGCTGGATGGTAAACTGCTGGCGGCGGCAACTCACGATAGGACGGTCACACTTTGGGACGTGAACGCAGGAGCAGTGATTCAGACTCTTAACGCCGATGCCGTTCTTCGCATCCTCTCATTTTCTGACGATGGTGCATTCCTCCAAAGTGATAGAGGAACGCTATCCCTCTCGTTTCTTTCCACTTATCAGTCAACTCCTAGACGCGAATATATGTCTTCTGTATATATCAAGGACCAATGGGTAAGCCACGGCGCAGGTAATATTCTTTGGCTACCTCCTGACTATCGGCCAAGCAAAGTTGCTGCTCACAAGAATATTGTTGCTTTTAGTTGTAGGTCTGGTCGAGTGTTAATTATGGAATTCACTTTCTGAACATTTCCTACAATACCGGTAGTAGCTCACTAATTAAATTTCCCTGCTCCGACATGGTTGGTTTGATAACTTACTGAGACATGGCAATAATTATCGTACTCAGCATCTAGAATCCGTGTATTTCGGATAATTATGCTGAATGATATGATGAGGCTGGCATTATCGTCGAGGTGATGCCACCTCGTCTGCAAACATAGTTGCCTAGGTGGCCCTAACCACCCCGCCAAGTCACATGAATAAGCTAACCCGCTCCAAACAACTCGGCTCTCATTCCCTGAACGCACAGCACAGCCACTCGACTCAGCCGTCATCGCTTGAACTGAGGATATGTATTACTCATATTCTTCACAAACAATACATGCCTCGCCCCTTACTAGCAGGGAGGGTGGCCGACCCGCTCCGGCTACAGGGTTGTGAGCTTTCCGGCGATTGAGGAGTATCATATTATAGATACTAGCAGGAGCTAGGCAGCTTAAGTTGATCTAAAGCGTATGAGGTATAGCTCCCGCTAAGTGAGGCTAACACCCTCTGCTGTGAGAAAGGGCGCGAAGTGTAGATACTGGAGGCCGATTGTGCAAGCGAGTGTAGTGTACACCTAGTAACTCACCTGATGACCTTTCGGTCCAAGTGGGTCCATGGCCACCTAAGGACCTTGGACGGTGCTGCAGAATATCAGGGCCCATGCCTAACTCCATGCCTAGTATGGATCGCACCAAAGCTGCACCTGTGAGAATCTATGTGCGTGTGCTAATGCCAATGCCGAGCCGCACACTAGGTGTACTGGCTACCTTGTTGTCCTCAAGACTATCTTCCTGATTGCTTGTTACACTACTTCTCTAGTATGGGGCCGTCTCGCGCTTCAACCATTCCAATGTCAAGGCGTCGTTCTCGAAGAACTTGCTCGTCTTCTCATACACTTCCTTGTGGTAGTCATTGAGAAACGCCTTCTCATCCTCGGTGAGCAGGCTCATGTCAACCAAGTTGCGGCAATGAGGTGTCATTGTCACATGCTCGAATCCGAGATAAGGCTTGTCGCCAAATTTGTGTTTGGTTTCGACTTCCTTGACCATGATCATATTCTCAATTCGGATTCCGAACTTTCCATCCTCGTAGTATCCAGGCTCGTCGGACACGACGTTTCCGACGGCCAATGAGACCTCCGAATATTGTACCCTTGTGCCGATCCCAATCGGCCCCTCGTGCACATTGAGAAACGACCCGACACCATGTCCTGTGCCGTGACGGTAATCAAGGCCCTCTGCCCACAGAAATTGGCGAGCTAACGAATCCAAAGCGAAGCCAGTCGTGCCCTTTGGAAACCTGACGCGCTCCAGAGCCATGTTGCCTTTGAGCACGAGTGTGTATGCTTTGCGCTCCATCTCGGTCGGCTCTGTAAAGTGCAGTGTTCGTGTGGTATCGGTAGTGCCATCACGGTATTGCGCTCCAGAGTCGCAGAGGTAGATGGCCTTGGGATCGATGACTGAGCACGCGCCCTTCTCTGGCTTGTAGTGTATGACTGCCGCATTTGGGCCTGTTGACGAGATGGTGTCAAACGAAAGACCCATGAACATGTCGTGCTTCTTGCGAATCTCCTCGAGCTTGTCAGCAGCATCGACTTCGTCCAGCGTAGCCTTCTTGTTGATCAGCTGGTCCTCTAGCCAGGCAAAGTATTCGCTCAATGCAGCTCCGTCGCGGATATGACACTGTCGCATGCCTTCCAGCTCGACCTCGTTTTTGACTGCCTTGGCATCTCCGATTGGACTCCGCGTCTCCTCGACTTTGTCTTCACCACCGAGGGCCTTGTTGAGCGCCCACGATGCCCGGTTCGAGGTTAAGAACTTCTTGGGTGTAGCGTCCTTTTCGCCTGTTGCAGAGAGCTCTTTGTTCAGTGCGGTAACATCGCCGAAAATTTCTTCGTATGGACGAATGGTGACTTTGTCGCCCAGATGGTTCTTGACGTCTTCGGGTAGCTTGCTGTCGTCGACGTAGAGCGTGGCGGCGGTGGGTGTGATGACGGCGTACGAGAAGAAGACTGGGTTGTAAGGTATGCTGTGCGACGTCAGTTTGAGTTTTTTTAACTGGCTTCATGGCACACCTACTCGTTGCCACGGAGGTTGAAGAGCCACGCGACCTCGTCAAGCATGGACACGACAAAACCCAGACTCTTCTTCTTCTCCAGCTCCTTTCGCAGATCATCGATCTTGTCGCTGAAACTCTTGCCAGCGTACTTGTCAGGCTGAACAATGACCTTTTCGCTTGGGCGAGCTGGTCTCTCTGCGCCCCATACCAAATCGACCAAGTTCTCGTCAACGGCCTTGTACTCGCCGCCCTTCTTCTTAATCTTGTCGGCAAGTTTGCGGGCATCTGCTGCCGCGACTACGCTCGGGTCGACGCCAACAACCTTGCCTCCCTCAGCCTGGTCTGCAGTCCATTCTTGGATGGTGGGTACGTCCTGTATGCCCTGCTTCAGCAGTTCCCAATTGCTGTCCAGCTGCTTCTCGGCCTGGTTGAAGTAGCGTCCGTCGGTCGAGAGGGCTGCCTTCTCATGTGTGATGACTGCATAACCAGCGGAGCCAGTGAAGCCACTGATGTATGCTAGGGAGGGTCAATGGGGTGGGATACGACGAGTAGCAGGGGTCCAGTTCTGACCTCGGCGGGCGTCACACGGGGCAATGTACTCGCTCTGATGGCTGTCTTCGGAGGGCACCACTGCGTAGTGTCAGCGACCCATTTGCAGCCTTGTTGGGGGGCGCAGGCGTACTGTAGATGTCGACATTGCGCTCCTTCATGAGCTTGCGGAGCTCTGCCAGCCGGTGGGATGTATCTACTTTGGCCATGTCGATGGCACGCAGGGCGGCAGAAGCGTGGAGATGTCTGGTGGAGGAGAATGGCGACTTTGCAGCTACATATGCAGCGGCTATCGCGTGGGAGCGCCGTAAGATACGCGGCAAGAGCATCAAGGAGTGAAACGTTGGTTTACGCCAACGGTCAATCGGTGCATGCACGCACCCCGCCAATCTCCAGCCCACAGCCTCAGCCAGCTTACTTCCAGCCTCGCACCCCACGGTGGACCCTGGGACCAACATCGCCAAGCACAAAAACCCTCTTGCTCAGGCACTGCCGTCTTTAAATCGCCCGCCACAGCTGGGCGTCTTCTGCCATGCTCAGCTAGAGGCCATGGACTTGCACTTGCATTGCTGTCGCCTGCTGTTGACCCTGCCCCACTACGCGCCCAGGTAGATGTCATTCAGTCTGCTCACCTCACCTCTGCCTTCTCGCTCTGCCTACTCTACTTACTACTTAGTCCCTCACCACTCTCCACCCGGACACGGCTCACTATGCTCAGCCTGCAATAATCCCAGAAACCCACTAGATTCTCCAGGCTGCAACCCGCACATCGTCCAAGTAAGTCGCACAGTCTGCATCCTTCTGGCGCCCAGTTCCCGCCCTTTGGTCACGCTTTCCTCCTTTGGGCCTCACCACGGCCTAGTTTTGGGTGAATGGACGTCGGGCCAGCCATGATATCTGGCCAGCCCCAATCCCGCTTGACCTCCCTCCGTTTTTCCTTATCTTCGTCATCGGCCTTTGCATGACTCTCGCCGCTTCGCCCCCGAGCAACACTACTGCCTATTGCAGATTTTGATTGGCACAAGCAAACAACGTCATCGGCATACCCAAAAACAGTCCCCAATCCACTGACACCGGCTTCAGAAAAAACATGGCTAGCAATGGGGCCCAATCGTTTCCACTGCCATATGAAGAAATAGAGCGCCTGGTCAAATCCTTATACGAGCCTGGCCAGGCCAAAAAAATCTCAGAGACCGAGGCTACCCTACGCGTGCTCCAGCGCTCGCCTCAGGGATGGGAGATTGCAAATGCTCTGCTCAAGAGCGACGACGAGCAAGTTCGCTTCTTTGGCGCCCTGACTCTTACCGTCAAGCTCAACGCCGACTCAGCCGAGTTGAGCGAAGAAGAGTCTGAGCAACTATTATCAACACTCATTCACCACCTCGTCTCCCGACCTACTTCGTCCATTGCAACCCGAAAAATTAGCTCAACCTTGGCCCAGTACTTTACGAAACCCATTTCAGTATGGACTCAGTGCGTTAGGAGTTTGGCTGCCTCTTTTGCCGTTCAGCGACCAGTCTTGGACGCTGCCCTGAGCGAACACCCTTCGACATGGGATCTCTTGCCTCAATTCTCCGATGATCAGCTTCTGGTCATGCTCGATTTTGTAATGAGCTTAGCAGACGAAGCCAAGAAACCCTCAAACGTCCCAGACAGGAAACCTCACGAGCGCATGGCGGCAAATGTCGAGAATGTAGAGATCCTCCTTCACGTGTCGTTTGGCCGTGGTATCAAATGGCTATCGGTAGCTATTGACGACCCAAACTATGCTCAGTCCGTGCAGCAGGGAGAGAAGATATGTATAGCCGCTCTAAAGTGTTTTACGGGATGGATTTTCTACGCTCAATCAGAGTTCAAGGATATGCCAGAGAAGTTACAACATCTTCGTTCCGTCAACGAGCTCGCTCTCACATGCCTCGAATATCATGTTGAGGATGCAATGGAACTCGTGGCGGAGATTCTTGAGAACTACCCAACTTTCTTCGAGAAGAAGCACCAAGAAATGCTATGGGCGGCCATCTCCGGTCCCTGGGGTCTGGAAATACTGAAAAACTCGGATGCCGAAACCGTTTCACTTGCAAGGATCATTGTGGCTTACGGACAGATTCTGCTCGAGTCCAAGGTCATCTACACCCAGCCAGACAATGCGCACTATCAACAAGTCATGTCGTTCCTGCATGACCTCCTCAAATATCCAGAACCAGTAGGCGCAGAGGACGAGGTTGCTCCTGTGGTACTTGACTTCTGGAGTAGCTATGTCAGCGCCATGTCCGAAGAAACATTCTTGTGTCCTTCAGGAGAGCAGGCACCAGCATGGATGGACGCCGCCAAGGCCAATGTCCTTCAAGCCATATCCGAGCTTGTCCAGAAAATCATATACCCACCAGCCGACGTTACTGATTCTTGGGATTCCGATGCCAGGAAAACATTCAAGGTATTCCGTATCGATGTTCGCGACATCATTATGGATGCCTATGAACCCTTGCGAGACGTTTTGACTGATCAGTTCGTTGACTTCGCACTACACGGTTTGAGCGCTGGCAAATGGCTTGATCTTGAGACCGGGCTGTTCGGGCTCATCGCTATTGCGGATGCATTGACCCAGAGTTCGGATAACCGTATGCTCAGACTGTTCGAGCAACCACTATTCTCGACAATATCGAGCAGCCCAGATGTACCTGCGATAACACGGCGGACAGCTGTTGAACTTGTCGCGGCTCTGAACCACTTTTTTCTGCGGAATCCGCAATTTCTCCCTCAAGTCCTCCCCTTTCTCCTTACCGCTTTGGCTCAGCCAGCAATCGCACATGGTGCTGCAAAGTCCTTTGCATCCCTATGTTCCGAATGTCGCAAGTCTTTGACAGGAGAGTTGGCATCTTTCTTCCAAATGTACGAACAGTTCATCACCTATGCGACAGCCGAGGAATTCACCAAGAGCATGGTTCTGAAAGGCATTGCCGCCATAGTTCAGGCCCAGGAATCAGAAGAGAAGCAGCTAGAAGGCGTACGGCAGCTGTTTCAGTACATCACACGCGATGCCATGCAAGCAATCAACATTACCAAAGAGGGAGGAGACATGGAGCAGGGCCAGGTACTCGCGCTGACAACGTTAAAGTGCTTGGCAAACATAGGAAAGGCCATGCAAGCCTCAGACGAGGAAGTGATAGATCTGGAATCTGACAAGAAGCCTTCCACATTCTGGTTGCAAGGACCAGGCAAGGAAATCCAAAACCAAATCATTAATCTCGTCAACTACATGACCCAGGTGTTCTCCGGTAATGACGAGATCGTCGAGGCCGCGTGTAGTGTTCTGCGCACTGGGTTCAAGGAGACAGTGTCAGGGCCCTTTGTGCTACCACTATCTGCGGCGATTGATTTTATCACCAAGACGACCTTGCAGACTCCAAGACTTCCGTTTGTGTTGGAAACAGCGTGCTGTTGGATCTCGTCACACAAGCACGAACAACCCGAAGGCTTTCAAGAGCAAGCCCAGCGTTTGCTTCAGCACAACCTGAGCATCATGCAAGCCCTTCAACACCCAAGGAATGACCCTGAGATTGCGGTTGGCTGTATTGAGCTCATCCAGAACTTCATCAACGCTGACCCTGGTCTCCTGAAACAAGCCTCCCCGGAAAATCTATCCGGAATGTTTGGCTTCACGGTTGAGTCGATCAAGTCTCCTGAGGTGTTGCCGAAACGCGCAGCTGCCAAATTGTGGAAAGATATCTTTGAGCTCGCAGGCAACCCACATAGCGAATATCATGCTACGACCCAGGAAATTGTGGCTCACTTCGGGCCTTCAGTCTGCTTTGCACTAATCGCCAACATCTGCGGAGAAGTAGACTACAGTAGCTTAGAGCACGTTGTCGCGCCCCTTCGTGCTTTTATGAGGGCCGACAAGAACGCAAGAGCATACATCACAAACTCGTTGGCGGAGCAGCCACTTCTCCAACGCTTGCAACAAGATCAGGGTGTTCAAGACATGGTGCGAAAGCTCATTGAGAGCATGTCTAGGTATATTTTCCAACAGCCACGATGCGTGCATTTAAAGCTAACCTATGTACAGGAATGCAAGGAACAGTGTGGCTTTCAAGGACACTGTAAAGGCCTTTTGGTCGAGTTGCAAACAGCTGCAGATGCAGCTCCAACCACAGGTGATGAACCCAGCGCATCGCTTCGCCCAAGGCTTCCCTCAACCGGCTACATATTGAGCAGCTTATCCAAAATTTGTCGGATTTAAAATTCAGCAAACGCAGCCATGGCGAAAGTCAGGCCGAAGGACAATTTGAAAGCAACATTGTCTTGGACCAGCGACCGGACATTCATGGACTTTAACCGGCGCTGGAGGAACGAGTATGGTATGATATGGATTCCTCGCGACTCGATGAACTAGCACATGGGTCAATCTTGTTTTCCACGTTCAAAGCATAAGCATGTAGGGTGAGTGATGGGAAGTGCATAACCAGGAAGATATCCCAGGGTGTAATGTTCGGTAAAAGACGTATGTCACAGATAGTTGTATAGATCCTCAATGACCGAGATGATGAACTTACCTGTACAGCAAAGATGCCTAATCCAATCAATATAGCCAGCGGCTTGCTAAAGACGCTAATTCCCAACCCTCCAATAACACCGAGAATACTTCCCATGCTAATTTGTCGAATTGCCTTGGGGTTTACCGCACCTGACTGAGTAACAACGGGAGTTCTCGCTTCGGCGGCATAGTTGCTCTTCAAGTCACTAGTAATCTTTGTGATGGGATCCGGTCCATCGCAGTGTATGCGCTGCGCATTTCGGAATTGATATGCCAGCAGTGGTGTCGAGAGAATGAGCGGCGTGCTGAGCATCAGGCCTCTACGAAGTCCCGGCAAGATAAACGACATGGTTTCTTGTCTTTGTGGGCGTCTAGGCTCACGGGCGAGCTGTTGCTGATGTAGGTATTCGGAAAGCTGTCTCTCGAGACCTCGGTCGGTTGTTGTGCTGCGTGCAGAAGAGCGGATAGCACGTGTCGGTAGCAGGGTATGTTGGGTCAAGACGTGTATGGGGAGTTGTGTCCTTGTCAAACTGCTCAATCCCAATGGCATTCGGTACATGGGAGTTTGTGCTGGAATAGATTACTGACTTCTGGGGGAGAGCTGAAATCCGAGGGTAGTGATGTCATTGGCTCACTAGCATTTTCGCTAAGCCATCTTGGGCATAGCAGGACCCTGAGTTCGGGCACCCCAAACGTAACGTCGCGTCTTCCAACACCATGTTGGACGTGTTGATATCCACTAGGCACTATTTGGCGCTCGCCATGACAACTTTCGCTCCTTAAAATATCTCAATTGACTAGAAAACAGGTGATCGGGTCACAATGGCGCTTCGAACGCTTTTTCTGACGGTCGCAAATCTTCTGATCCCAGTCGCGATACTGGTCTTCGCAACTGGCTTCTTTCCTTACAAACCGTTTATGCCGGGTCTTGCCCAGTATGAAGACCTTGGGTTCTCTGAAAAGCTGGGCAAGGACTGGCAAAAGCCGCCTACCCCGCCGTTCGACAAAGTTGTCTTCATGGTGGTTGACGCGCTGAGAAGCGACTTCGTGTACGGCGAGGAGAGCGGCATGTCCTTCGTGCAAAGGTACGACAGCCGTCTGGAAAGTCTAATATAGAGTCGCATTATGGCTGATATCTCTTTAGTCTAATACGCGACGGAACCGCACTACCATTCACGGCGCACGCAACTTCTCCTACAATTACCATGCCACGTGTAAAGGCCATTACCACAGGCTCTATTCCCTCCTTCGTAGACGTAATCCTTAACTTTGCCGAGTCAGACACCACGTCGACCCTCGCGACGCAGGATACATGGCTCGCGCAGATCAAAGCAAAGGACTTTGAAAATGGCAAAGGGAAGCTGGTCATGTACGGCGATGATACCTGGCTGAAGCTCTTTCCCAATGTCTTCGAGCGCGCAGACGGAACGAGCAGCTTTTTTGTCTCGGTCAGTCATAAGCGTCCCGTCGTATATAGGAACAATAGAATGTTGATTTCAAAGTGCAGGATTTCACAGAGGTTGACAATAATGTGACGAGGCATGTTCCAAATGAGTTGCTTAACAGTGACTGGAATGCAATGATTATGCATTACCTCGGTTTGGATCATATTGGGCACAAGGCTGGTCCAAAGAGGTGAATGCTGCGTTCAACTTGGTTAGGGTTCAGAGTATTGACCATTGCATAGCCCCAACATGGTTCCCAAACAAGTTGAAATGGATGAAATCGTTCGCGACATTTACTCGGCTATCGAAAACGAGGACCATCTTTCCGATACATTGTTCGTTCTTTGTGGCGACCATGGCATGAATGACGGCGGCAATCATGGTGGCTCCTCTCCTGGCGAGACATCTTCAGCACTAGTCTTTATGAGCCCAAAACTCACCAAGATTACCAATCCTGCTAACAGAAAGAGTCCAATCAAACCAAAGACCGAAGGCGAGTTTGAATACTACCGCATGGTTGAGCAGAGCGATATCGCTCCAACACTTGCGAGCTTGCTTGGATTTCCGGTCCCCCAAAACAACCTCGGTGTTGTCCTTAAGGATTTCCTTCCCTTCTGGGATGCGCGTAAGTAGCAGTGCTGGCTGATAGATGGCTATGACTAATGATGGCTAGCTCTGGATCGCATCCAGCTTCTCTACCGCAATGCGAAGCAGATGAAGAAGATTGTGGCAGCCAAATACACCAGCCTGAAGTTCGAGGACTCTTTCATAAAGTCAGATCACGCCCCAGAGTGCGCCGAAGGATATGATGTATGCTCTGTAGCAATCCCTACAAGCGTCAAGTTGCTAATGTGCTTAGGCAAATGATGGTCAAAAGCTGGCTTGTCTCTGGCGAGCGATTATTGCTTCATTGGCAGACGGAAATGATGATGTTACAAGCTTTTACAAGGTAGGTTTGCGTCGCTCGCTATCATAATGCGAAGATTCACACTAACAACATCAGTTCATGCACCTGGCTCAAGAAACCATGTCCAGCACAGCCTCCAACTACAATCTGCCACGCCTCTTCATCGGCACAGGCCTAGCTTTCCTCATATGCGTATTATCCTTCTTCACTCTTCCTTCCTTCCGACCCGTCACACCAGCCGGCATCTACTTTGGTCTATCTCTCGCTCTCTACGCCATCCTCATGTTCGCATCCTCCTACGTGGAAGAAGAGCACAACTTCTGGTACTGGGCCACATCAGGCTGGTTCTTCTGCCTTTTCCTGCAGAACATGCGCAAGGAATGGTATAGCCAGTGGATATTCCATCCCGCTATCATGGCCCTGGCCGTACACCGCATTATACGGAGATGGAACCAGACTGGCCAAAAGTATGCTGGCGCGGATGATATTGTGAATAGCGGCCTGTTTCATGGGAGATACTCTGCTATCCTGTGGATATTCATCGGAGTCACGTATCTGGATCTTACGATTCGGCTAGCCAGGCACGTCGCACGTTCTGTTGCAACGTTTGATTCTGACCAGAAGGCTCGTGCCGTTGAGCTTGAATCGACGGATCAGCACCGCCTGCTCGGTACAATTGCTGTATTACCGTTGTGTGGAACGGCATTCGTTTTCAAGCTTGCCTTCACTGCAAAGGACGCCCCGGAGATGACAAGCGGCATCAACGCAGACTTGATGGCGAAGATTGAAACATTGGAACTTGTCGGTCTCGCTCGCATGGTCTTTGGTGGTATTCTTCTGAGTGGAGTCTGGATCGCATTTGCCGAGTGGACACGGTCGAACAGGAGAAAGGCGCGTGGGAGACAGGGTAACGGCGGTATGTTATCCTTCATCTAATCCCCATACCATCTCCCTTGTAAAGAATCCTCACTAACAAACAATAAAAATTCAGATCTCGCCGTCGCCTTCTTCGACCTAACAACCCTCTTCCTCCTCACCCAAACAAAAGCCGAAGATATACCCCTCTACTTCCTCTTCCGCCTCCAAAATCTCTTCCTCTGTACGTTTGTCCCTCTTCCCCCCCCTCCCATTCACAAAAAGCCTCAAGAAAACTAACTCAAAAAAACAGCCCTCCTCACCCTAACCCCAACCGCCACAACCCTAACCACCCTCCTCCTCTCCCAAACCTCCTTCTTCGCCCTCGCAAACTCAAACTCCATCTCCTCCATCTCCCTCTCAAACTCTTACAACGGAATCTCAACCTACAACATCCTCGCCGTCGGCCTCCTCGTCTTCGCCTCAAACTGGGCCGGTCCCATCTACTGGTCGCTAGCCGGTTTGCTGCTGCTAGGTCACCACGGCGGCACCCAGCGCTTCGTGGATACGCGCGAGATGCATGTTGCGGATTGGGTGGCGAAAGAGCGGGAGTGGTTGGGTGAGTTGGCGGGGAAGGAGGAGGAGGCGAGGGAGAAGAGGGGGGGTTGGGAGGCTTGGGTGGCGCATGTGGCCGTGTTGACGTTTTGGACCGGGGCGATGCTTGTGGCGGTTATGTTGGCTTGTACGGTGCTGAGACAGCATTTGTTTATTTGGACGGTGTTTAGTCCAAAGTATCTGTTTGCGATGGCGTGGGGGGTTGCCTGGCATTTGGGGGTTACGGTGGGGTTGGGTGGGTTGGTTTGGTGGTTGGGGAGTTGGTGAGGTTGGTTGAGGTGAGGAGAATGTGGTGGATGGGGGTGGGTGGGTAAGAAGGGTGAAAATATGCGTATCTTGTAGCGCTGTTTTGCTTGAGATTTGTAAGGTTTTGCGGATAGTCTTTGATACTTTAGCTAATACGTTTCTGATCCGCTACTTTCTTCCGTGAACGTATGTGTGTATGCTGAGGTCGTTGGTAGCAATAACCTCTCAATAGATATCTGATCCCTTCCCATACCCTCCGTCACCCTTCCTCTATTCTCACTCCCCCCGTTTCTTCCTCTTCTATTATTACCCCTCCACTCTCCTCCTCCCCTTCTTCTATCATCACCCCTCCACTCTCCTCTTCCACCTCTTCTATCACCACACCCCCAGTCTCCTCTTCCCCTATTGCTATCCCTCCCCCAGTCCCCCCTTCTTCAATCCTCACACTTTCTGTCTCCCCTATACTCTTCCTCCTCAACTCCTCCCTGCTCCTCTGCGCATCTTTCTTCCACCGTTCCCGAACTCTCTTCTGTGCCGTTCCTCTCATAACTTTCTTGGCCAGTACCTTCTTCTCACGCGGATCCTCGACGACACTCCAGCGCACTCCGTCTTCGGCTAATTCTCTCGGATCGTACCGCGAAAGCTCGACGAACATTTGTTCGCCGCAGTACGTGCATTTGACTAGGTCGCCAGGCGCAACGCCGGGTGGATCGGAGCCAGGGATCTTGATGGGGTGGCTTGAGGCGTGTAGGAATCTATATGGAGGTAGAAGAAGATGTTTTGTTAGTAGACTGCTTTCCCTACTTTCTCTGTACTTGACTGAAGTGGAGACTCACAGTTTAGATGAGCTCGTAACTCCCGACCCAGCATCGTGGCTATCCTTTGTCTTGTCGGCCTCGCGCTCGTCTTTTACGATGCCCCTCTCGTTCAGGTTTTCGCAGTACTCGCATCGCCACCTGTCTTGCTTCTTCGCCACGTCTACTATCTTCTCCTTTCCAGCCTCTTTCCTCTTATATGCTTCCTCGCGCCATGTATCTGATATGGGATTTCGTGTAATGCTTGACCCGCGTCTCTGGGTTGGGGAACTTGAGTTGTGGTGGTCTGGTAGAGGCGCCTTTGGCGAGCGAGTGCAGTCGTGTTGGGGTTCGTGTGAGAATTGTTCTGGAAAGACGGAAACATGAGCCTCTGGGGATTGCGGTTGGGATGGCTGGGAAGCAGAAATTTGAGACATGGAGAGACGTGCTAGACCTGAAGAAATGGATGAATTTCGACGGCGCATTTGAACTCTGAAGGGGTAAGGATGTAAGCAAGGTGCAGAATTTAGAAGAATTGAGGTCTCTGAGAAATTTTGTGTAGGATACCCAGCTCTGCTGCTTCCTTGAGTGGTTCGCGTGCTGTTGCGATACGAAGGTGAGAAAAGGATCCAAGACATACACATCGTTCTCTATTTCCTCTTGGCTTTTCTTTGAAAACGGCACATCGGTACTTCCCTCCGTTTCTGGGCCTGCAGTGTTCCCATCGTCACTATAAACGTTCTCGTTAGCACTTATTGCTGGAGTCGTTCTTCGCTAATTTTCTTTGAAGACGTGGCCAGAAATCAGGTTGTACCCTTGACCAGAATTTTCGGAAGCCGACTCCCAATCGTCTGAGTCATCTTGACTCATTACGTGAGGTTGCAAAATGGTAGGCAGAATTGCCGCATGGAATTTTTATGATGTGGCAATGAATGACAAGAGGTTCATTGACAGTGCAAAATGCTAGTAGGTGATATAAGCTGGGCGATGAGTGCCTGGAAAGCGTACCAGACGCGTGCAGAATGCTCGCTATCTTTGGGGTACCTTGGATGCCACCTCACATGACTTCATTTCTACCAGTAACGGATCTTGGAAATGGGTTTCGCAAGATACGCTGAGCAATCTTGTCAAGCTATATCAATGTCTCAAAACATCAAATTCCCTACGAAGTGATGATGCATGACTGTACGACCCTGTACCAAGGACGGTTACCGCTTCTTGTAATTTCTCCCGAAAATTCCTACACTTTAGACAACTAAATCAGAAAGTGATCAAATACCATGAGCTCTGGGGTTCGCCTATCATCATGCCCTAAGGAAGACTATTATGAGGGGCGTTAAACATGAATCACTCCACCACTCCAACAGCAAATCCTGCTTTGAATGCTACTACTAAAATTGCGAGGGAGTGCACAACTTCTCGCCATCAGATGCTATTCAACAGCATGCCCAGTCGCTTGCCAAGAAACGCACATTATTTGTTACCAGGAATAGAAAGCCACGACGCTGATGCAAACAGTGTTAGTGCATATGAACTATCATCTACATTGAACATCAGAGGGCTAAAGATAAGCTGGGCAACCAGCCGCTTCAAACACAGGGTAGGTGGAGTTGATAAGTACATGGGTGCTGTGTATTTACCAAGGAAGTGCACTGTCGGTACCTGCGACAGCAGCGGCCGTGCGTCCCAGCAGAACCACATGCTACATAGCTAAGTCAGGAAGCTTGCCGTTAACCCCACATCAGCGGAATACTCCCACCTTCTATAGCAGACTTTCTGTTTCAATATAGCAAATGCTCAAAGATACAGGGCTAGTCATGTGAGTCGGACCGGAGGAACCAAAGTGACTACATAGCCTGCACTAAACACGATGGGTTAGTATACTAGGACGTGCTTAGTTTCACATTTTGGTCTGGTCAGATTACACTACCATAAAATCCCGACAGATGCACTTCTTGTCGCGATTATCTCTCATTCATTATACATAGGTATACATATAGGTAGCAACGTAGCGGAACTGTGATAGGTCGACAAACTGTATAAAACAGCCATGCACTACAGTACAAAACCAGTTCAACATAAGTCTCCGATCCAATCACACCATTTGTCAAGGCGCCTTTTCTTGGCTGCGACGCTACATAGTGTAGAAACATAGGTCAAACAGGATCAGAGCGCCCTCTGTAAAGCATTGTAGAAAATGCCCAGACATTATGCTCTAAAACGGCCGGAACGTGCCGCAGGACCAATCAGAGCCCGCGGATCTACGTATTCACGCTAAAGCAGATATGGATGGCCTAGCTCAATATAGATCTACTCTTCTCTACTCAGCAGCCAAGTTCAAGGGGTGATGTTCTGGATAGACTTGGCTGAATCACTACCCACTCGCAACTTGGATGACCTTGACTAGCTAGGCGGTAACAGTTCTTGACAGTTGACACATCCAGGCTTGCCCGAATATCCACTGCTGCGCAACTGTGTACCTGAACGCTTGATTGTGGGGCACGTGCACTTCCTTTTTATCGCCTAGATGTAGCTATTTTTTACTTGTTTTCATGTTTTGTATGAGACACACGGTTTGTAGTCGATTGACCTCCTGGATGCGAAATACTACGTACATATGCTTTGCCTACTTGGCCTGCAGGGTTGTCAGAAAACCAACATGGGTTCACAAATACTATGGTGATTTGTGGGTTTTAGGGTATATTGGAACCACCTGAATGTCTTCTACAGACAAGGTTTCCTGCTTATCAGGGCCAACGCTCGATCAAACGACAATCATTCATGTTTACTGTGGTCCAGCATGAGACTTAGGCCTTCTTAACGAGGATACTATCATCTGACGGCAGAGCAGTTTCGAAACGAGGTGGTGGAGAATACTCTTAAAATACTCATCACGATTCTTGTACCAGTAAGGCCTGGGCCATTGGTGATCTGCGCCCTTCAGGCCCAGCCTTGAACAAGGCATTACTATCCTTGGCTTAACCAATGCTGAGCTCTTAGAACAGCACTAAGATGTTTCTAAACAAAGCTAGAGACCTGTTTACTAGTAAGCATAGCCAAGTGGTCGATTTGTGTCTTGTAGTTTCTCGGTCTAACATAGATTAGACCCATTTTAGAGTGTTCTCCAGAACATCCGCATGTTAAACTGAAACATCATACCGCTGTCAAAGTACCACTGCTAAGCTGTAAAGGCATATTGGAGCCAAGTATTATGGATGAGTCTACTCAGAACAACAAGTGATCAATTATGTATAAAGACCATCAGAAAACGAGTTTACAGAAGCATCACTCACACCCTCATTCACAACCATCACTCACTGTCTTTTACAACTACTACTCACTAAGTCTATCATTCTTACTCCCAATCGCTTCAAAATGCGTTACTCACTCGCCTACCTCATCGGCACCGCCGCTCTCGTCAGCGCAGCGCCCGTCCTTGAAAAGGGTCTTGATGTTCCTTCAATTGTACGATCAAGCCCATTTTTCGAGAGGATCATCATTTCTAACTCAAAATTCAGGACCTCCTACCCATCGATTATATGTCCGATAACCATGTGAAAGAACCTAACCGGGTGTCCAAACGCGCTATAGCCAGTATCATCGCCGGCAGCGTGGCCTCAGTAGCTGGCGAGCAGCTCACCCTCGCACTCGCCGGAATAGTCAAAAAAATGCTTCCTCTCACCGAGTGGGATCCCGCTCGTGAGGCTTTTACTCAGGAAGCGACTATGTCACTCTGGAACAACAACCCAGACCCGGCCAAGTGGGTCGCGGCTGTGTGCTACAACCAGGCATGGGATGTCAGCAACAAGTCAGGCATTTCGGACGTAGTGAGCATGAAGTTTAGCCTCGGTGCTCTCAACACCGACTATGATTGCATGTACATTGGAAAGGGTACCCAGTTTTATACTCAGGGCGATGGTGGTTTCATTAACGTAAGTGCTTCTCTCGAAACGGCTTTTGAGTTGGGACTAATTGTAATGTGCAGCTTCGCTACCAATACGACGACAAGGCTTGCAAATATGATCCCATCAGCGGTGATCTTTCTTGCTAGACGAATTTTAGGGATAGACACGGATTTTTATGGACGGCGTTGAGGTTTTGGTTTTTTCTCTTCATGGTTTTCATTTTTTCAAAATTAAAAATTAAAAAAAAGCTGGAGGATTGGGATGAACAACGGGTTTGCAGCTGTTGGAAGACAGTTGTAGATAGCTTGTAACGATTACGAACATTTCCTTATATACGGCCTTACAATCTATATCATCATTTGAATACCTCGTCTTCCATCATGAACTGCATGAGTTATCTATAATACAAGAGTTCCGGCCCTTATACTAAATTCCAGAACATAGTTTTGCCTAGGGTTACGAGTTACCATGTGCACCGACATGATGCAATTTCTAAGCTTATTATGCACTGTGCGATACTCTCCCTTGGTGATTGTGTAGTGTGTGACTTTACAAACGAAGTGTGGTTAATCGCTAGTTTATCGTCATGTGATGGGCAGCAGACTGGAAAGCACAACCATGGGTTGAGAACATGGAATATTCTTGCCAGCTTGTCCTAGAACTATATAATACTTGTACTCCCCTCGCATCCTCCTGACATTTCCTTCTCATCACCATCACCACTACCACTACCACTACCACTACCACTACCACTACCATGTCTTCCTCATCGCCGCCCCCTCCAGAGCGTAATCTTCAGAGGTCTAAGCGAAAAGCCTCAAAGTTGCCGTCACCAATACTTCAAGAAGATACCATCAAGCGGGTTAAGACAAGAGATCAATCACTTATCGGAGATGAGTATAACGGCAAAAGAACTATCTCACTATCGCTCCTAACTCCACCACCTTCCTCGTCGAACTCAAGGAGCTCTAGCGCCTTGTCATCCACATCGACCATCTCGATTCCAGTAGAGATGGATTCTCCGCATACCTATGAGTGCATGGGTCTAACCGCCGAAGCGGCACGATCGATATACAATGACGGAAAAGAGATTCGAGATGGTTTGTTGAACGACTATGGCGAGGATTTCAATTCGGACTTTCTTGAGTGTAGTCTTGAGGCATACTTGGTCAAGAGAGTTAATGAAGTCTGTGATGATGTACTCGCAGCTGGAGATGGTGACAACTGGAACGAAGCAATGACAGCGGCTGGTATCAAGAAAGAGCTTCAAGATGCTATCATGGATGAGGAGTTCGAGGCTATCCGTGGCACAATGCCTCTCCAGAGTTGGCTCAAGGAGATCTTCAACAACTATTTCCTCACATTCGAACACATGAACGAGAGCGTCCTAGATCTGGAAGAGAATTCGTCAGGGCCAAGTCTGAGGGGAGGAGCCGGCGAAGAAGACATATCACCCCCACCTCCTGGACATCGAGCCTTATTCAAGAGCGTCGAATTTCACAGAGCGCAAGGCATCTTTCTTAAGGACAGAATCAATCTTGACAGATTGACTTCGGTAGCAACCCCCATGGACTTCACTCACCGTAATGGTCTATACTTCACAGATGCCCTCTGGGTCGCCGAGGTCTATGCAACATTTTCAAAGCGCACTTGTCCACCTGCCGACATTCGAACTGTCGAGATACACGTTCCAGAAGATCATTTCAGGAAGCAGAAAGTATGGGAGCTTGAGTTTGACGACACCTTCAAGGAAATCGTTTGGCACTCCAGGCGCGGAGAACTGCTTCCAAAGAATTTACAGAAGATTCGATCCGGCTTCCGAATCATTCACGGACCCTGCACCACGCAACACTCCAAGAACTATGCGAAGATGAAGCATTGGAATGAGATCACGGACAAGCATTTGCTAACTAGGACCACAACTGATGAGTATGGAGCATCTAAGAAAGAAGTGGCAATGCAATACCTGTGGCGCAATGATGCAGGAGTGACCGAACTCAACATCGATTGCAAGGGAAAGGTGCGTGTGTGGAAGCCACTCAAGGGTTGGTCGCTTGTTGAGGATCCTGAGAAGGACATTTCGGTCAAGGGGAGGAATGTTTTGAAGGGTTGAATGCTCGTTTTGGAGGCCCGGAAATGGTTGTAATGTGCTTTATTGATTGGGGTTTCTCATGTTTTACTCAGGTGGTGGAAGGGATTCCAGAGTTTTGGTGCCGAAGAAGCTTTCTCTGGCTTTCCCATTCCGACCACTAAATCCAGTTGCACTTGTATACACATATCAAGATAATTCAGCAACATTCCTCAATACATTTCCCCAAAATCCAGTTTTCAAAATTTTAAACAACGTAAAAATTAACATTCAAAGATAAACCCAAAAAGATACCAAAAGGGGATTCTCTCTATCCTCCCCCCACCGTCATACAGAACTCTAAAATCATAACCCTATAAAAAACTCCTTCCCCAACCCCATTTTCACTAATCCAACCTCTCAAAACGCCCAAAATCAAACCCACCTCTCTCACCCCACTTCAAATCCCCCCTTCCTCCTCCTCCTCCTCCTCCTCCTCCTCCTCCTCCTCCTCACACTTAACACCCACCTCCACCACCCCCTCCATCACCCCCTCCACACCCACCACCTCCTCCATC